TGGGGAGTTTTCCAAAGATATGATGTAAATTTAAAATAAGTTAACCAACTGTACTGAATTCTTAAATAAAATAACTTTGTAGTTTGATTGAATTTTCTGAGAAAAATTCCAAAAATTGGTTGGAATTATATGCTTTTATGATTATCTGATTTTGAATCTCCACCACATGAAACTTAGTTTGATGTGTATTATGGAAATTAAATTTTCATTTTTTTAAATAATTTTACAGCACAATACGAATTTATCAACTTGTTAATTAAAAATCCATCAACTATCACATCATATATTCATGATTTTTTTTACAAATCATAATGTATTATTCATCATAAAATTTTATTTTATATTTTTCTTGGTTTATTTCACAAGAAAGGAGTAAGAATCGAACGGAGAAATAAATCAAAGTAAATAAAAGGTAAGGAGTTTAAATTCACAATTTGAATCTAAATATATCCAGGATCATGACAGAAAAGTGGTTTAGAAACATGGGCTATTTTACGCAAAAGACATAACGTTGCCCCAGGCCCCTTATGAGCCCGTGGGCTCTGAGATCGAGAAACTGCCGGCACTGTAATAAATGATCTGGACCGTTTAAACTCTCAACAAACCTACGGTTCACGTTTTCTTGCAGAGAAACATGGTACCGTAACTTGGTCTTTCACGAAGAGAGAGAAATCCCATTCCAGATTTTCTCATCAACCAAACAGAAAATTCATCTTCAAAAACTGAACATCTGACCCACCTGGATCTTCAGTTTAAATCCGAAATTCAGTAAGTTTTTCTCTTTTTTAAAAAATTATCCTTTATGGAATTATTCATTTCTTAAAATGGGTTTTGATTAGAATAGTTAAAGTAATCAACCTGTTCTGTTTGATTTTGATAATTGCTAAGAAAGTAAAAGGGAATTACGTTAAATTTGTATATAGTGATATGTATGCATGTAAATTTGTTAATGTAGGCTTAGTAACCATGAATTTTATTTTTACTTTAAGAAAACTGATATTAAGATTATGTGGAAAGACAAAAAGACTTAACTTTTCCTTTTCTTTTCTTTTCTTTTTTTAATCTTCTAAGAAAGATTGTGACTTGATGAGGAAAAAAGTTACGGTTTTTTTTATCTTCTTAATCGTGCATTTTAGTTTTAACTTCGAATTTATTTACCTGCAACTTATAGCTGATGGTTTTAGCTCAAATATCCATGTTTCTTTCTTTATTTCTTTTTGCACGAGGTGCTTGTCTGTGTTACTTCTGTTAAACCTTTTGTTTTTGTTTTTTGTTTTTTTTTTTTTTGAGCTTGTAAATTATTTTAGCTTTTCATCTTCATTAACTGCAAAAAATGCTAACTTTTGAGTATGGTGTGCTTTTGGTTATCTCTGATGGTCCCAAATTATCCCTCATGTTGCACTGGAAACTTCTGTTTTGCAGTGGATTTAGAACGTAGTCCTGATGTTCCAAATGAGGATTTAAATAATTCTACGGATGGTAATCCTCAGAATGGTAGTGACGGCACAAATGGGGGAAGTTCTATTGAAGCAACATCTCAGCCTGAAGAAAATGATAAGATGACTCCCTATCCCACCGGAGGTTTTGAGTTAACTGTAGCTGAACCATATGTGGGTCAAGAATTTGAAACAGAAGCAGCTGCGCTTGAGTTCTATTGTTCATATGCCACTCGTACAGGTTTTGTTACTCGAATGAGAGATCATAATTGCTCTCAACGTGATGGATCTATCATTTCACGAACACTTGTTTGTAACAGAGAGGGTTTTCGAAAGCCTACTGATAAGCCTAGAATGCCATGGTCAAGAAAACCTCGTGCTATCACTAGGGTGGGTTGCAGAGCAAGGGTTTCATTTAGAAAGCAGAGTAATGGGGCATGGGTTATCAGAAGTTTAGTAAAGGAACACACTCATCCATTGGCATTGCCTGAGAACCTGGCTCCAAAGGCAAAGGGGAATCCAAAGATCTATCAAGTTCCGGTCAGTTCTTGTCCCGATAGTTGTTCGTTGGTATGGTACATGATAATCTTTAGTTTTGTTAATGTGCCATTACTATACTTATTCCCTGTTATAGTGTTTGAAATCTGTCAGGTTCTGGTCACTTTAATCTTTATTGTGTAAATTCGGCCCCTCAGTTTTTAAGACTGCCCATGGAGCAGTAGTTTTGAAAACCATGGGTTATTGTAGCAATTCTCCTGCTAGTAGCTTCTAGAGACTGGTAAAATCCACTTAAATGGGTGGCTGTGTATGAGCACATCGGTGTATGTATATCAATCATCTATGAGTCTTACTCTTTAAGATGTCTTGAGGAACGAGCTCTGCAGCATCTCACTATTCCAAGGTTGATGACTTCTCAAATGCTCATATATTTGTTGTTCTATTTTTAATATACATATTTTTTTAATTGAGGTAACTGCTTAAGGACATATGAATTTGTGTGAGATTTATAGCTATAGCCTGTGAAAACTTTATACATTTAATGTGCATTAAGTTGTGGCAAGTGGGATTCATGTCTTGCTAACTAGTTCTCTTTCCTTTTACTTTTCTTTTGATTGCATTTTTCTTCTTTCCTTTAGGCTGATGACAAGAGAGTCCACGAACTAATGCGAGAGCTGATGGTGGAGAAAAAACGGAATGCTTCCCTCAGAGACTTTATTCACCTTTTATTCAATCACATCGAGGAGCACACACAAGGTTTATCAGAAAAGATCCAATGCATAGTAGAAAAGGTAAACAAGATGGAATCAGAAGGAAAAAACTCAGGATCTGAGATAGTCATGTCATTGTAATGTACTAGGTGACATCATGCAGTTTTTTGTCTTATAATTTATTTTAACTCTGCAAACTTGAATGAATGAATGCTTACCATGCCTACCATTCTTACTGAACTCTGAAAGGAACATGATTTTGTCATGATGTACAGAAGTAGAATGGTTTGATGCGTGCATTCCCCGTATCAAAACATCAGTGCAAAATGGTAGAGAAAAGTGGTTGAAGACTTCGGCAGTATATAGACTAGACTATCACAAGATATGATATGTGTGTATGCATGTAAAACGAAACAAATTTGAACAAATGATATCTTGGATAGTGTACGAAGACACTTATTTGAAGACACTTATTTCAATGCGTTATATATCTGTGTGTGTGTGTGCGCGCGCGTTTGCTGGTAAGCAGGTATGCTGTTGATTTCGGCGACCTTGTTTTGCCGGATAGGAGGCAAAAGAAAGATGCGTGCGGCTATGCTGCTAGATGGAAGTATCTCATAATATGAAATTTGACATGATTATCAATTTTTCACTAGTGCTTACCAGTTTGGTGTGTAGAAGTGATGTATCCATTTTGTAGCTCATGTGTGAAAGAGCTTTCAAGTGGATTAAGAAACAAGGAGGAGAATGATAAAAAGAGAGAACAGTGGGAGATCCGAACATCGCATTTCATAATCTACTACTTCCACACGATTCCAGATGAATAATAGAAGGGTCACTGAATCAACATCAAATATTATTGGTTTGCATCAGAGCAGGTGCAAAAGCAATTGAAATAGTTTAGCAGCAGGTAGAAATTAGAACGCATAGTCCAGTGCCGTTTCGTTTGTTCTTGCGCCGTTGTTCGCAGGTTGCAGGATCACAGTTACTTATGGTAGGAGCTGCGATTACTTCATGGCATGTCTCTCGTGGCAGATATACAAAGAAACTGCACAAAATATTATAAATAGAGAATAATATTAAAATACAAAGATAATTCTTTACAGGAACATCAGCAAATAAAGATAATTCTTTACAGAACAATTAATTATTCTGAAAATAACCATGTCTTATTATTATTCAGAATAATACTTACGTACGAAGATCACAAAAATGATAATGTTTGCCAATTATTCACAGAATTCTAAACATCATTACTAGTATTGATTTATTTGGCAGGCTTTGAGAACAGATAAAGACCTCCAAGTTTTCATTCAATTTGTATATTTAAGTCAAGATTTCATGGTTGATGCAGAAAATATCACGATTAACAAGACAAGGAGAACGAGCACTGTAGCATGCTAGGATAAAAAATAAAAAATAAACATATCCCTTAATATAATTTTTATATGCACTTTATACCTTACTAATACTTACTAATTTTTATTTTTTAAAATTTTTAAACATATAGGGACCTATTGCACAAATTTTATAAATTAGGGAAAACAATATTTTTATGAAAACTTTAAGAACCAACAAACTTATAAATAAAGAACCAATATGTAAAAAAAATTTTAAAGACCAAAATAATTTTTTAAAAAAATTATAAGAACTAAAATGAAAAAAATTGATAAATTATTTTTAACTGTATTAAATAAACCGATAAACCCGGATAAATGGAAAATAAACTTATTTTAAGTAAAGTAAGAGATAGAATCAATGGACTGGATATCCGATCCGTTGGAGTTCCAATCTGTTAATTTTCGTACACAAAATGACTCAGAGAGAGAATAGGCTTAGCATATAGCACCAGAGCTGCAAATTCATCAGATGGTTTCGAGAGGCACATTTCTTCTGAAGGATAGACAAGAAGCTAAAACTGGAGGTGGTCAATCATTTGACAATCCTGCGGATTACTAGACAACAAACAAGAGCAGAGCATCCTGTAAGAAGTTACAACTACGTTTTCTTTTAAGTTATTCCCAAATCTGCATAGGAATCCATCATGTAAAAAAAAATGTCACTGTCCCATATTAAAATAAAATACATTGCCATTTTCATACCTACCTACCTACTGCAATTTACTACATTTTCTTTTATTGAAACCATCTCATCCAGATAAACAGGTCACAGGATCCTATCTCTTTCGTCAACCTAAGATGATGAAAGACCTCTTACATTGGATTGAATCTAACAAACTACATCAGATTGAATCTCTATCTACAATGAACAACAGCAAGAACAGAGGTTCTCAAATCAAATGTGAATATATAAAGAAAAACCTAAGGAGGGTAACAAAGGAATGGTTGGAAGGTATTTAGCTACCTAATTTAAATGCATCCACAAAGAGACCTAAGCACACACCGGCTTTCCAATAGTTCATCATCGCTACAAAAGATTGCAACCTCCCAGTAGATAGGGAAGGGGGCTTTTTGTACATGAGCATACCAATCCCCTCAATGGCAGCAACCACAACACCTGCAACCAATACATCCCAGTCACCTGTCTGTCCAAGTATTGTAGCCAGTGCATTTGCTGTGTAGAAACCTAATAGGAGGAGAAATATTTTCATGGGGAAGTTTTTTCTTGCTGAATTTAGCTTCTCTAGTAGCTGTTTGCCACCTACACTTGCTATTCTGCCCAACCGAGTTCCACCAAGACCAGGAGGACTATCACCATTGACGCTCTCTTGTCCCCCATTTCCAGGTAGCCCACCAGTGTCCAAGGCAAATGCTATTCTCCAACCTTGTCTTCTCAGCTGAAACCTGGTTTGAGACAGCAAAGGCCAAAGCCATAATATAATTGAGATGTGGCTGAGCAAACTGGGAACCAAAGGACTGATATAAGATTGTTAAGAGCATTTAAATTATGCAGGATGCTTTAACTTCTTATAAAAAGCTCATAAGAATGGAAGCGATATCTGAATTGCCACAGCATGTCTGAAATCAGGCGGTTGGGTAGAATAATAAGCCCTGCTACAACTTAACCATAGAAGCACAGGCCCATGGGACAAGAAGAAGTAGAATCAGAAGTCCTTCTATCCCAACAGACTGAAAAACACATTTAATAAGTTGCTGAATTGTTCAAGAATCACTTGGACGTACAATAAACCAAGAATGGAGTAGCTCATATTCATTGTGTAATTAATTCATTGTGTAAGTGATCTAAATATCTCTTCTTTCTTGTAGACCCTTGTGTTGGGAGTTGTAATTATTCGGACAATTCTAATCACCATTTACATCAACTGTTCTTCGTATTGATACTCTAGAGTGAGGATTCAATGGCTACCAAACAACAGCTCTGTATAAAAACGTAAATAACGAAACAAAGAAGAGATATTGATTCCAAACACTCTGATTAGATTGTCCCATGTTCCTGGATCCACGAGAAGATAGCTCTTCAACAACAAAATTGTCTACAAAGTTCAAAAAATGTACCTCAATTTTTTAAAAGGTACAGACTTTACGCCAATCTTTGATGCCTGTCCACTAAAACTGCGTTCACTCTTCCAGTTCTGCATTGCACAAGTTGCGAGGGTTATACATGGTCTTTTAGAGACTTCATTCTCCATTACTGATAAACCTGACTGCAACACCATTGCTCCCACTAGACAAGCCATGAACAACTACAAACAGAACTTCATAAAATTATCATAATATAGACGCATTTAAAACAACCAAGTTTATATAAAATTCAGACCCACTGTGCAATCATTGTTGTTGCTCAAATCTTAAATTCAATAAGTGCTCCTCAAATTCACAATTATCAAATTTCGGCGGTTGTAAAAAAGTTAGAAAATTGTCAAACTGTCAATGCTAATACTTCATTGCATCATCCAGGTTATGAAGTAAAAAACTATCAAAATTCTAGAAAATGACCCATAAAGGTTCTTAATCATTTTGAAAGATAGAGTCAATAAAAAAAAATGATGAATTCAAGAAAAAAGTAAAACCCTAACCTTTGAATGATAATTTTGAGGAGAAAGTTCCAAGCTTTGGAGCTTCTCCCCTAATTTCTTTGCCACTCTGCAATGCTATAGTTGTGTGAGCTTCCAGGGGGAAAAGGGCCCAACAACTAAAAAGTTAACTCAGAAAAAGAAATGGCGTACGTGGCAAAATGAGAGTGGACAAATTCCCTAACTGCATGCACCTCACTGCAGAGAACCTTCCCCTTCTTGTTTTTTTCCTTTTTTTTTCGTATGTATATAATAAAGTCCATTTCTTGGTTTCACACGAAGCAATGGAAAAACAACAACCTCCCCAGTTTAGGGAGATGGGTATTGTGGTTTTGATGCTGTTATGCCTCTTTACCACCATACGCACTTCAGTTTCTATACAACAAGAAGAAGGAGGAGCAGAGGAATTGATTTCTTCTCAACCCAAAAAACGGGAAGACAGAGTTATAGAAGTGAAGGGAGGGCCAGAATCAGTTATATGGATAGTGCAGCTCTCTGATCTCCACTTTAGTGTCCACCATCCTGAAAGAGCCCTTGACTTCAAGAAAATCGTGGGACCTGCTCTTAAGATGATTAATCCATCTCTTGTTCTCATCACTGGGGATCTCACAGGTATAATTTTTTGTGTTTTTTATTTTTATTATTTTTATTTTAGTGAGTTTGAGTGTTTATTTATTTCAAGCTTGATTGTTTTTGTTGAATCTTGGGAGTTAGATTATGTAAAATGAACATGCATTAATAGAGCTTCAACTCCATCCCCAGATTAGAAAAATGAGTGGAAGAGTTTTGATGCTTTGTGATCTTATTGCTAATCAAACTGTCCATTTTGATAAGTTATTCAATCGACTCTAATTAGCTGCCAGCACACTGCGAAGATTTATCTTGTCATTTTCATCACTTTTTTTTTTTTTTTGGTTCTATTAGACATGCACATTCATGATTGTTATTTAACATATGAGTAACCCAAGTACATAATGTTCTGATCTTTAATGACTGCTGCTAATCATGATGATGGCTCGGCAACGTATTTTACTTTTGTTTATCAGATGGGAAAAGCAAGGACTTGTTAACAATGAAACAAGATGAGGATGAGTGGAAAGAATACCAGAATGTAATGGAAGATGTTGCGAGAAGAAGTGGACTAGACAAGAGCATCTTCTATGATCTCAGAGGAAACCATGATAATTTTGGTGTGCCAGTCATTGGTGGTTCCTTTGATTTCTTTTCAAATTATAGTATTAATGGGCAGTTCGGAAGAAAAGCAAATGTCAACAGCGTCACAGTTGAGGTTAATCTCTTCAGAACATGTTTTTAGACATAAACTGTCATTTTAAAGGACAAGTGGGTGGTCCAAAATGTCTTTTCTTATTCTTTCTCATAATTTTGGAGCAATGTTTCCCGAATTTCAAAACTATGACTATCATTTGATTTATTTATTTTATTTTATTTCATTTGGTGATCTCAGCATACTTCCAGTAATTATATTTCGATTCCATCTACCAATATCAGAGCTTTGAAACCCAAAGAACGATATGATTCTTCTTCATTTCTCATTTTAAGATTCATATCTCATATGAAGCTGAACTTCCAGTGTGAATTCTTTAGCTGTAGGCATCCATGCATATATCTCTTGTTTTGCTTAGTAACAATGTAAAGCTTTACTTACTTCCTCTTCTTTGTATCTCATTTCGCTGTTGGCTGTTGTCCAGAATGGTGACCGCATTCATCTATTCGTAGGGTTGGACAGCACAATGTCTACTGGTTTACGAGGGCCAACTAATCTTTTTGGGCATCCAACTGACCAACTACTGACTCAAATAGATACACAGCTATCGCAATGGGATTCTCAAAAAGGAAAACCTGTAACTAAGATATCCTTTGGGCATTTTCCACTTTCATTTTCAGCTTTCTCACACTCTGGGAAAAGCCTGAGAGATGTTTTTCTAAAGCATTCAGTATCAGCTTATTTATGTGGGCATCTCCACACAAGGTTTGGTAAGAATTTGAAACGGCATCACCAGTTGAATGAAAATTCTCTGTCCTCACGTAAGTATTTTCAGTTAAACATACACCAAGAACCTTCTGAGAGTACTAAAAACTGTTCGTTTCGAGCACCACCACTTAAGGAGTTCTGGGAGTGGGAGATGGGTGATTGGAGGAAAAGCAGAGCTATGCGGATTGTGGCTGTTGACAGAGGTCATGTTTCATACCTGGACATTGACTTCAAATCAGGAACCAAAAAAACCATTGTGTTGCCCACATTTCCACTGGACTCCCGCTTCATGTCAACATCTTCATTACATCAGATGTATGAATGTCAACATATGGTCCCTTTTTCTTTTGAGACAATCAGATGTCTTGTGTTTTCTGTTTCTCCAATCACATCTGTTGTGGCTAGGATCTATGACACAAGACCAGGGAGCCCCCTTATGATCATGGAGACAATCATGACCAAGTTTTTGAGGGATATATCCAGGGGAGACATTTATGCAGCTGCATGGAACTATAAAGCCTTTGAGGATCCGTCTCCTGATAGATTTTGGCTGCAAATAGAAGTAATCGATGTAATGGGAAGATCAACTTTGTCTGAACTAAGGCCTTTTTCTATAAATGGTCTGAGCGCTAAGATCTCATGGAAATGGAAGGAATTTTTTGTCATGGGTTGTCAATGGGCTGCCTTGTATTACCCAATATTCTGGTCTTCAATATATTTAATGCTCTCAATTCTTCTTATTCCAAAAATTGTCCTCATTTTCTCTAAGAAGCAGTACTCTTACAAGACTTTTATTTCTGAAAAAGGCTTAATAAATTGTCTAGCATGGGTTTTGCAGGACCTCTGCAGGGTTCCCGTAGTGTGGTTTGGTATTTTAGGATACTTGATCTACCTCATCTCGTGTCCCTGGCTTATTGGGCAAGTTTTCACTGATTGTGGGAACAGGGGTTACATGACCTTCATGGGATGGGTGGTGAAATCTTTCAACAGCAGGGATAAGCACGAGTATATTGGATCACCAGATATAATGGTGGTTGTGCTTCCCCATTTCTTCTTTGTGGTTATGCCTTCTATTTTGGTTGCTGGAGCATTGGCTGCTGAAAGAGGTATCTACAAAGAGCATTTTCTATTACTTTCAGGCAAGAAAGAAGACGATGATTCTAATCAGAAGAATAAGAGATTGGGAAAGTATGATAACCAAGGACGTAGAAGATCAAAATTTTATTTTGTAGAGAGGTGGATTCGGAAAGGTCTCTTGGTGGTTTGCATGGCGATTTTTTGGAAGCATTTTATGGTGAGGATCAACTCCGTACTATTATATGTGCACAATAGCTCTGTCAAAAATGTATGCGTTGCATCTCATCGCATCATAGGGTTGCTATCATTTTTTTACTAGAAAGTTGAAAGTGATCGAATACTAAACCAGTAAACCACTAATTGCTTTAGTTGGTAGTGGGTGCAGGTGCAGATTTCTTTCTTCCATAATGTAAATAGTTTATTGGCTTATGCAGTTTGAAAATTTAGTGCTAGTGACCTGAGCCAATTTTCATTGGTTGTTAAGGATTATACCTTTTCGGCGAGTAACAAATTTGGAAATGATCGTTGTCATAAATCCCATTGAATACTATGATATGCTTAGAGTACGTAGGAAAATAATATTTACTTCGAATCAAGCAAGCAACCCGCCCTAAATTTCCCTTTCATTGGTCTAACTTCATGGAACAATATAAAAATGTTGGATGGGAATCTATTAGATTTGATCATAATCGTTCCTTTTCTGACTTGGTTGCTTGTCTCAGAATTGCAGAGCTCTCATGAAAGCATACGAGATGAACCCATTGATTCACTTTCCAGTGTATAGCCTTGCAATTCCACTGCTGCTTGCGTACACTGTGTACAAAACCAGGAGTATTCAATGAGCTTTTTGCAGAAACCAAGCATTGCTCAACACCATTGAAGTCTGAATGCAATTTTTTATTAGCGCAGCAAACATCAAAGAGGCATGATGACATGGTTTGACACTACACTTGACTTCAAGCTGTCCGAAGCTGCAAATTGTTGAAAAAAACATGTGCGTGGGGGACTGACATGTTTACAATAACAGGGACCGGATGATATGCAATCAAGAGACTTCCCGGCCAACTTACGATTGGGTTTTCTAGGATGGGAAGCTCTTTAAGTTATTAGTACATGTTACGAGTCTTGTGACTAATGACATTGTAAGCAAAGTTACAAGAAATGAAGTAACAAGGTTTGTCATGACTAAATTTTCAATAGAAGCAGTGTTATCTATGTGTGTGTGTGTGTGTGTGTTCTCAGATGCCTGTTTTGTCCTTGATACTGTATATTCTCCAAAAAACGCGAACCCATGTTCATTTTTGCATAATAACTGACAATAAATGTATGGTGACGTTACTCTGAAACAAGAACCTGCCTTTGGTCGAGACTTGAGAGTTTGCGTATTTGCTTGGGTCTAGTTTTAGGCTTTAGGGACCCTAATATGCAGGCTACAGCTCCTTTTCATGGGCTTATGACTTGTTTGTCATAGTTTGAGTTTGGACTTGTACATTAATTAGTCGAATTCACTCTTCTTGTTTTGAACCTAAAAACACTTGAGGGTTAGGTAAATACCTAATGATTATTACAAAAAAATTCTTCTACATAAAATGTCCAGGAATTGTTTTTGGCCAAAATGTCGCTAACATTAGTCTGTCAAGATTAACAACATGACGCTAACATTTGTCTGTCAAGATCACTATTTCTGTGTTATTGTTTGGCTGGGACGGGATTAAACCATATATAACAAGTTCACAAAAAAATTTAACTAATGTTCCTTGATAGAATTCATTGGCAGGACCCGTTTAGTCCATGTATGAGATTTTTACAGAGAATATAGGAAGAATATTGGGTAATTTGCCTTGCTCATAATATATATATATATATTTAAGTCTTGGATAATGAACGAATACGTTTATTTCAATCAGTTAATTGTTGAGATAAACAATGGAGTAATATATTTATATGCTTGCTAAAGTTACGCCTGTAAGTAGGCAATCTTATTCTGGCACCTCGTTTTGCCGTATAGGCAGAAGGAAGCTGCTGTGGCTACGCCAAGCACGGAAGTATTTCATAGTATCTATTGTTTGTGACAGAGAATCACTACGTTTATCGTTTTATTTTCTTTTCTTCTTGTTGTCTTTTACTCTTTCTTTTGGATGAAATGAAATTTGGTACGATTTAGCATGATGAAAATCTTTGATTTTATCAATTTTTACTGGTGCTAATCAGTTTGTTAGTGAAATTTGATGAAGTCATGATTTTCAAATTAATTTTAATGGTTGAATGACTTTTGATCTAACTAGATTATGTGATTGGTATACTTTGTCGTATAAAAAAATTAATACCGAGTATCTACAAAATAAATTCCTATATGGTGTTTGAAGGATTCTCTTATGACAAAATTAACATATAAAGAGAGATGTTTGACTTAAATATGTTTAATGGTCTTTTTCGTTTGTAACAAAAGTAAATATGTAATATTATATCAATTATAAAGCTTAAAAGGTAGAATTTATAATACATAGAGTATTAATTTTTATGTAATGGGAAAGGATCAACTTGTACTAAAAAGAAAGCAATTGGGTACAGATTTTGATATTTATTGGCAAATTAAAGATCTCTTTAGGCAAATGTTTATATGTAACGTAACATATATAATCATATTTAGTGATGATATGATAGATGTTTTTAAAAATTATTATCTTTATTAGATGCTTGTTCTTTGTGTATAGCCCAAGAAAGAAAGGAGAATTCCATCTAGGATGCTGGATCATGCTATTCGTACGGGGTTTGCCTAGACACGTGGTTCTTTGTTATCGGAAAGGCAATCTTGACGATGGTTGTGTTTAAGGGTTTGACATTTCCTCTACTAACAAGAAGGATATTTGTTGTAGAACAATCGACAAAGGTATATCAAAAGCCTCCGTAAGCATTTGACAAGTTTGATGACAGGAGAATATATATAATATTTTTTTAATATTTTAGTTTGAAAATATATATTTGATTATATTATTTTTATTATTTAAAATTTATTTCTTCAATTGTTTGTTTCTTATTAAAATTCTCATCTAATTAATTTTGTAATTTTATTTGTTAATAAATTTGATTTTTTTAAAAAAATGATTATTTTATTTTTTAAAATATATTATTATAATTTATACGATTGATTATTTTTATAATTTTTAAATGAAAGTAGCGTAATTGTATATATAAATTTTGATGAGGGAGAGAAAGCTAAAAGTGTGTTTTAGATAACTTGACTTAATTTTTTTTTAAAATAATCAGTTAAAAAATAATTTGACTCAATTTTTTAAAAATTAATAATTAGTTAAAAAATTCATAGGTTTTATTTGGTTATATATATATATATATATATATATATATATATATAATCAGAATTTATCGAAACCAATTTTACGGTAATTTTTATTTAAGTTTATTCACTTCGATATATTTCATGCGATTTAAGTGATTTTTTAATTTTTTTTATTTATTCTATATACTCTAAATTTGTTAAGTACGATATATATATATATATTAGAAATTAATTATATCCGCACATATAACGCTAATTATTTGTTATGTATTTTTTCATGTTTTAAAATCTATATTTTTAAATAAAATAATTTCATTAATGTTTTGAAAGAACATCTTAATTATTCAAATATAAATTTTTATACTAATATTATAAATTATTTTGTTAATAAATATATATAAATCAAATAAGTTCGTTCAATATATAAATTCGATTCATATTAATCTTTAGAAATAAAATATTTACTCATATTATATAATACGAATAATTAATCTTATGCATATAATGATTATCTCATCGTAGTATAGGACATATTGTAGTATAAGACATGCATTTAACTAGTTGAGACTAAAAAATCATTTCAGTAACTCAATCGACAAGACCTATTAAACAGGGAATGATTTTTTTTTTTTTTTTTTTTTTTTTTTGCCCTAAATACAAATACAATTGTATTTGCTAGTAAGGGCATCATAACAGCGGCGTATAAAGTTGAAGCACGTGGGGTTGGGTGGGGCAGGATGGGTGACGTTAGCACATTCCACTACTGCTTTTCGGCTAACTTAGTTCGAAAAAACAGATCGGAAACAAGAGAAAGCCCAGTTACATAGCACTTCCACACTTGCTTTTTCAAATAAAAATGCCGCTCTTCTCTTCGATTCAGTAAATGGATGTGAGAGCGAGGAAGAGAGAAGAGAAAGAGAAATTTGGAAATTTATCCAGAGAAATGGAAGCAACAACTTCAACATCGTGTCCTTCAACCCCTCGCTGGAATATCGACAGACCTTTCCTCACCGGCCGTTTCCACAAGGTTTTCTTCCCCCCTCCCCCCTCACCGTTCCCTCTCTATTTTTTCCGGGAACCAAACAATCCCACCACTCGAATACGAAAATTTATCGTTGTTGCTTTTTAATTGCCTCATTTTACCATTTTTTTTCCTAAATTAAATTCTGTTTTATGCTGTAATTTATAATGTTTAGTTATTTATTCAGGAAACAAAAGGAACTTCCCGGCTCGCTGATACCAAGGGATTTTCTATGGATTTATTTAGGTATAAATAAAATTATACACAGAATTTGCTTCACTGCATTTTCATTCTCTCTCTCTCTCTCTCTCTCTCTCTCTCTCTCTCCCTCTCTTTTCTCACAGGTTAAAATTTTGTGTATTTAATGTATATATATTTTGTGTGCATTTGAGCAGCAATGGATTGGAGACCCCCATTGGCTATTACAATGCATCGGTTCAAGTAAGTTTTCGCATCTTCATCCTACTATTCTTAAGTTTCAAACGATTGATTGGCTGATTTAGCAGGGTTTTTTTTTTTTTTTTTTTTTTTTTTTTTTTTTTTAAATTTGGTCATTAGCTTTGTGAGTTGCCAAAATATTTTAGTTGATTGCTATTTTCTTTGGTAAATAGGAACTTATCGTCATTGATGATCTCTTGTCTGCATTGGTTGGAATCGAAGGACGATATATTTTGATTAGAAGAGTCTGTGGAAAGGAGGATCAAATCTCTTTCCAGGTTGATGCTTCTATGGATTTGGCAATCCAGGTATGAAAATGTATCTATGTATGTACATGTGTATATATTTGCATGAACATTGAGGTATGTTGGCAAAGTGCCTGTTGACGGATGGTTATCTCATAAGTTCGCCATTGACACTATGCCTGAATAAGTTTGTCTTGTTAAGTTGAATCATGCAAATTGTCATATTGATGGATTGTTATGCCTGATTGTTTAAGCTGATAAAGACATTATTTCAGGAACTGGCAAAAAGGATGTTCCCTTTGTGTGAGAGCTATCTGTTGATTGACCAGTTTGTTGAGTCCAGATCACAATTCAAGAATGGTTTAGTTAATCATGCCTTTGCTGCTGCACTCAAGGCACTTCTTCTAGTAGGTTCTTTGTGTTGCAAGTCTTTTGATTATTATACTCATGCGGCACAGTGGTTCTTGCATGTCTTTATCACTTTATCTGTGTAGTATTGATGCTCCTAACTGCCTAGTAGTTTTATTAAGCTTATCTTGCATGGTCATGGCTGCATTTTTTCTTTTTAGTAGCTTTGGTTCTTGCTTGAACACATATTCCTTCTAGCCACAAGTGAGCAGAAAACAAGAGAAAGCCTAGGTGGACAAAGAAGCATAATTTTAAATACACAAGGGAAGTGTCCTTGAACTGTGATGGCAGGTACCGACCAAGGTCTATAAAACACACCTGTCCTTAACCATCTAAAATTAGTAAAAAATGAGTTAAACATAAGACCGATTATAGGACAGTCATCATATTCGTGATTGCTATGACAAAAGGTATAACAGATCTTTTTTTTTTCTTTCTTTCTTGCATCATGCCTTCCATTGCAACATGTGTCTTCACCATAAGTGAGCCGTAGGTATGTTTTAGCATAAACAAAGGGAGTCTGTGTGTTTTAATCTGTGATTATCCTGTTACTGCCCAAATTAACTTCTCATTAAAATCTTAGATACAAATGTTTCTCTTCAACTAAAGTAATCTCTGATTTTTTTTTTTTTTTTAATCAGGATTATCAGGCCATGGTGGCACAGCTTGAACACCAATTTCGACTTGGAAGACTTTCCATACAAGGATTGTGGTTTTACTGTCAGGTTTGATTAATTGGATTTGCCCTAAATCTGCATAACCGTTTCTTGGATGCTTTTCTCAAAGGGTTTTCTTGCTATGTTGCAGCCTGTGATGGGTTCAATGCAAGCTTTATCCATTGTGCTACAGAAGGCTTCAGCAAATAATTTTATTGGTTCATCTGTCCTTAACCTCCTGCAGAGTCAGGTGAATTGCCATATTTGATTAACTTGATTTGCTGAGTAAAAATATTTCTGTTTTCATTAATGTTTTCCTTGGCAGAATTAACTTTTCCACACTAGCTCTTGTTCTTAAACTTTTGGTAATTTGTTCTTTTGTTTTCAACATATATATATATATATATATATATTTTTATTAAATCCAGGCTAAGGCAATGGCTGGTGATAATGCAGTGAGATCACTGCTAGAAAAGATGACACAATGTGCAAGCAATGCATACCTTAGCATATTAGAGAGGTATATTCTGCAAGCTTGTTTTTGAATCTTTTTGTGTGTTGACATCCATGTGGTTGTCATGGATCATGCTTTTAGGAGCGTTTTAAGATAATAGTGATTACATTTTAGTTTTTACTGACTAAATCCTTTACTTTCGTGTCTTTTTCTTTGGGGGCATCTATGTAGGGAAACATGTAATTGCACATTTGACAAGGACATTTGGTTTTCATCTCTTCATGTCAGTTAGTTGCAAAAACCATCCCCTTCCATGCAAACTTTGCATAAGACCGCAACAAGCTAACAAATTCCTCTCCTTCAATACTATCAAAATTTGCCTTTAAAATATCTGAATTTGCAAATTGATTCGACAAAATTAATGATCTCTGGCTGGTTTGCCTAGTGTGTTCCCTTTGCTGTTAATATTGCTTGGCATCAAAAGCTTACTATTTGTTGTCCCAACAAAAAATGTCCAGTAACTTCACCTTTGTGGTAGCGGTTCTTGGATCTGGTCTTTGCAAAATCAATGATAAAACTTCACTCGTCTATATGCAAACTACTCAAAGTAGTAACTACGTTTTTAATTTTCATTTTTTTAGGATATAAAATAAAGTAAAGAAATGTAACAAAGCTAAAGATATGCCAAGCACCCTGTAGAGGGGCTATGTGTCAAACTCCTTATTTTTCCTGTTCCATCATGTTGTCAGATCTCTGTGGTGTCATATGCATGCCCCTCTGTTTTCATGTTTCATAGATTCAGAATTTAAGACCGTGTTTTAAACTTTAAATGTTTCTGTTTTGTCTAAAGTATAAGTCAGTTGCTTGTCACTTGATTTGAAGAGGCATGCTAGACTTACTGATGTTTGTTACTCTTTGTGTACTTTCAGTGTGAGCATTTCTCCGTTTTTCTTACCTTTTGGCATCATAAGGTTGCAATTTGCTGCAATTGATTTCTTTTTCTTGTGGAAATGAAACATGTAGGTGGGTCTATGAAGGAGTGATTGATGATCCTTATGGTGAATTTTTCATTGCAGAGAACAAATCTCTTCAAAAGGTACATTGACTTTATCTGCGATCGTGAGTGCATCAAATTTTCTTAAGATGGTCACAGTTCAGTATTTTTTAGGAGAGCCTTACACAAGATTATGATGCTAAATATTGGAGGCAACGCTACAGCCTTAAGGAAGGAGTTCCTAGCTTCCTTGCAAATATTGCTGGGACAATTTTGACCACAGGAAAATACTTAAACGTCATGAGAGAATGTGGACACAATGTTCAGGTTTGGTCATTACTATTCTTCAGTAGATCATGGAACATACTTTGTACTCATATGGTGATTAGTACTTACCCTTGATTGGTTGTTTATTGTTTAGGTCCCTGCCTCAGAGAATTCTAAACTAACAATCTTTGGCTCAAACCATCATTATCTAGAGTGTATAAAAGCTGCTTATGACTTTGCAAGCAGTGAGCTCTTAAATCTCATTATAGAAAAGGTAAGCATCAGTTCGTATCAGTATGATAATTTCCATCTGCATACTTGAGTGACTTTATGTTCTGCTTATATTATCATCCATGGAAATCGTAATTGTTTTCCTTGGAGCTAAGTCTCCTATGACAAAACGTTCTTCTCTTTGGCTCTTTTTTTGCCTTCGCTGCAGTATGATCTAATGGGAAAGCTGCGGTCTATTAAGCACTACCTCCTTCTCGATCAGGTACTTCTGTTTTCTAGACTGCCATTTCAACCTTTGTTGAGAGGTATTCTATGCTTTCAGTGGGTTGTTTGTGAAATTGATTAATATCTACTTGTTTGTGTGTAGTGAGGCGGCCAGTCAGGGCTACTTTTTTCTTTATTCTGTTTCCCTGTCATGTGAGATTGGGAATCACTTTTTGGTGGATTTTATTGCAAATTTCTACCACCTTTTCAAGAAAAATATTAATGTGCAGTGATAGTTAGATGATTTGTATGCACACTTGGTTCTTAGGGATCTGCTTGATTTTCAAGCTCAAGCACTTGACAAGGATGCAACATGGCACGAAGTTTTTAAGCCCTGAGTAAGGAGCATGTTTGGTCTTTAGACCTAGATTTTCACAGCTATTGGGGTACTATGTGACTTGAGAGGGCCTTTGTGCAGATCGAATTGTTATATTTCAAACTGATTCTTCCTTTTTAAATGTCTGCTGTCATTAAATAAGAGGATCTAGTTTAGGGGACTGTTTACTTGTCCATGTGCTTAACAAGCTTTCTATAGCACTTCTCATGCAAGCATTTTGTTGATGTATGTGAGCGAATTTGTTATATGTTATTTTTTACCTACTTTTTCATCCCCTAAATTTTTGTTTGTTGGGAGTGGGGTGTGGTTGCCTTCCCAAATAAGCAGTTTCTTTTGCTTAATGTGTTGAGGATTGGTTCTTATTTGAATTTCTTCTACATTAACCAAACTGTATAATTTCAGGGTGACTTTTTGGTGCATTTTATGGATATTGCTTGGGATGAGCTCACAAAAAAACTTGATGAGATTTCAGTGGAGAAGTTACAGGTTTCATCCTTTTATATTTTTGCTAAAATGAAATTTAACTTGCAGAATAATTATTAAGCTGAGTATAACAATGTTATCTGAAAACGCACTCTCTGGTTGTCTAGTCTCTGTTAGACCTTGCTCTGCGTACCACAGCAGCTGCAGTAGATCCATGTCATGAGGACTTGACATGTTGCGTGGTAAGTAGGTTAATCATTCTCTTTTAAGAGGTGAAACTTGTGAATTTGAAGTTACATTATCTGTTAGTTCAACCTTTTGCTTACAGGAAAGATCTTCCTTGCTTAAAAGATTGAGCACCCTGAAAGATCTTGAAATGAGGTCCGTCTCCGATAGTAATGATCTAGATGAGCTATTGAACATTACTGGTCTTGAGACATTTTCATTGAGTTACAAGGTCTGCTCTTTGACATGCCCCTGAAATTTCTTGTTGGAGATTATAAATGTCTTTTCTTTTTTACTTTTCTTTTTCTCAAGTTGGAGGTTCATACCTTGGCTTTGTTGATATTTTCCACTCTCATCACTTTCTATCCTGACCACGATTTTCTTATTGAAAATATCTTGTAATTATTTAGCCTGTTCATGTTGTCTGTTTCAGGTTGAATGGCCATTGTCTATTGTTATCTCAAGAAAAGCCATTGCAAAATACCAGTTGATTTTCCGCTTTCTGTTCCGCTGTAAACATGTAGACCGCCAGCTTTGCGGAGCTTGGCAAGTGCATCAAGTATGGGCTAGAATTGTATCATTTAGTGTTGTAAGACTTTATCTACATCTTTTTTTTGTTTCTAATCCAATTCCAATATGCTTTGCAGGGAGTTCGTGCTCTTAATATGCGTGGAACTGCCATCTCTAGATCATCTCTACTCTGTCGTAGTATGCTGAAATTCATTAACAGCCTTCTTCACTATCTAACATTTGAGGCAGGTTCCTCTTTCCTGGTATTTCATTTCTCTAATGTCACTCAAACATTTTGTTGTTCCTAAAGGTAACCGATCTTCACATGCCTCACATGACATGGTTATGAGTTGCCTACTTATATTTGGGCATATGATTGAATCAGAAATTATTCCTTCATGTAAAATAAAAATGGATTTTTTTTTAACTCCTAAGTAATGGGCAGCTGAGCGGTGCCATTGTTGTTTGTTTCTGAACTTCTAATTTACATGCTCTTGCAGTTGACATTAATGATAAAAGAATATGTGATTCTGCATAATTTTTTCTGACCTGCTGAAGTTCAAAAGAATCAGGAAAATTGAAGTGTTTGAGGTCTAAATTTTATTATTGCCCATTGAAGAAAAATGGAGAAAAATAATAATATGACCGATGACTGCATCTTTCAATTTTACTTTTTATTTGTTTTTGCAATTTATTTTTCTTTTTCTCCTAGCATTTTGACAATCTATAAGTTTGCTTATGGTTTTTGATAGCACTACTAAAACATCTGTTTTCAGGTTCTTGAACCTAACTGGCATGTGATGCACAATAGACTTCAGACGGCCAAAAGCATAGATGAGGTACAGCCTGCACCAACTCGTTGGATTTTATAGTACTCGAGATATCCAATGTCAAGCAACTGTTTTATACTTTTGTTTAGTTCATTTCAACAGACATGGAAGTGTTTCACTTAATTTTTTGAGTCTCCGCACATTCTATACATCTTACTTTGTTCTTTCTGCAACAGGTTATTCAGTATCATGATCTTTTCCTCGAGAAGTGTCTGAGAGAATGTCTGCTTCTTTTACCTGAACTGCTCAAGGTTCATTTTGATCTTATTTTTAATTTTCTAAAACTAGTTAGTCCAAACTCCAAACCACCGTATCAGTCATGGATTTGGGTGTTGGGAAGAAAAATTAAGGGAAGAGAAAATGGGGCAAACTTGGCAGAAATATGATGAAAATTATTGCAATTTACCAGCAAAACCTTCCCTTTTTTTGGTAACAAATACACGCTTACTTTCAAACGAAATGAGAGAGAGAACAGGGATTGTTGTTGTTTAGAGGAATGGCTCTTCTTTTTTAAAGGATGCGGGACTTCAGATGGGCTTGTTCAAAATTTTGTTGTATGAATTCAGAGAAAAGGAATGTATCCATCACTTCTTTGACCTATGACAATCTACTTTTAGCCTTGAAGCAAATCCGTGATTCAAGGCAGTAATTTCCTGACTCAATAACAATTTCCTGTAATTCACATAGCAGAAATCTTCTTTAGTTGCAGCTCTTCTATCAATAGGTCCTGATAGTAAACACAATATATCCTTTTCCCTGTCTTAATCTTGTCTAGATCCTCTGAATATCGAATATTGAAGTTGACCTTCCAGAACTGCAATGGAGTTTTTGAATGTCTGGAACTTCATTTGCTAAATTTATTGATATTACTGATTTGGGATCTCATTTTAGTTCCTATAGGATAGCATGATGCTGGAAGCAATACACAAGATTGTCCATTAACAGATGAAAGCTCTATAATGATGGGCAATGCCCAGATATTGCTTTTTATTTCACTCATTCATCTTTTTGGTTTATTCTTATTATGGAACTTCTGATTGCAGAAGGTGGAGAGGCTGCAATCACTATGCTTGCAGTATGCAGCTGCAACTCAGTGGTTGATATCATCTTCTATTGACATTCCAAAGCTAGAGGAAAATTCCAAATCAAGAAGCTCATCTCACATGCTAAAAATGACAACTGAAAACGCAAGTGTCACTGATGCTACACTGTAAGTCTTGCTGATTGGCTACTGAAAATAAAATAAAAAATAAAAAAATAATAACAATAGTAACTCATTCAACATGATACTTCTGTAGCAAATTTGAGAGGGAATTCAATGCCGAGCTTCAGAGTCTGGGACCAATCTTGAGCAATAGTTCCCAAGCAGAGCCATATTTGACTCACCTTGCACAGTGGATTCTTGGAGTTGGACACGACCAATAAGTTTTGGTACCTTTTCTGTCAAATTGTAGCTTTTCGAGGTGTGAATATGTTGGCTATTTATATGTTTTCTTGCAGAATGCTTCTGCTTCTTCTTACTTGAGAAAGGAGAAAAAAAAATTGACTGAAATGAATGCAATATTTTGGTGGCCCTAGATATTTTCAGGCTTTAGCTTGGATTCAGTGTTTTGGAGTTGGTGGATGTGATGGTATATGTTAACAAGCTCAACGTCTTGCTGACGCCATATTGTATTGTTATGTTTTTTGTATGAATTAAATTCACAAATCGGGCTGAATCTCTTCTTACAATACGTCACCATATCGTGTTGTTTTGCTGGCTGTTCACTTGTAGGTCGGATTCATGGATTGTGGTGGGCGGTTCTTTCCCTTCATTCAAGGTTGATGGAGCTTTTCAAAGTTTCTTCTTGAACATGAAAATAATCATCCTTGGACAAACTTCGATATTTATTATCCAAAATCCCTGTTTGCATCTCATGCTATTTGCTGTGCCAGTTTTGTTAACTCTTTTATCTTTCGCGGCGTCAATAACCTAGAGAAATTAATATTTGACAGTTAGTTCTTAGGGTATTTTTCCATTGTTTCTCCCATCATAGAAGCTCGATCAAGAGGGGGCATCAGATTTTTGCCACTAGTTGGTACTCCTTCGGAAGGCAAACATTCAAAATCTGAGAGTGCAAACGCGAACCGCCAAGAATCCACTAAGCTACTATTGCAAATTGGCATCCACCATAGAAACTTGATCGACTAAAGAAAGCATGCCTATTGTTTTCAGGCTAATTGGTTAAAAAATACTCCGAATTTTTGGTGGTATTCAATTGTTAATTTTTTTAAATAATTTTTTACACGTAATCCAATAAAAGAACGACACTTGTCCTAAACACTCCCATCACTCGAACTGGCTCAAATAAAATAAAAAATTAAATGACTGAAAAGTCCCCATCCTTTCCTTCTCAAATTAAAACGCAAAAATTGCTAATTATTTTAAGGTGATAGAGAGCAACACAACGTGATTAAAAACTGTAAGTTTTCGATGGATTTGAGAGAGGAGTGGAGATTGTAACAAGAGAGGAAGTAGGAGCTGCGACCAATTTTTCAAGGGAGGAGATAGAGAAGATATTGGCGAGATGAGATTTTAGGAGAATAGGATCTGCTGTGCTGGGCGAGTTAGTGGCGGCGATTTTAGGAAATTTTATAGAGAAGGAGGCGGTGGAATCAGTGGTGTTGGAGGGAGTTTTTTTGGCGGAATTGGTGGCGGTTGGCGAGGCAGCAATCTGTTGTGCTTGGTGCTTTTTTGGGAGTGCAGAGTCCTTGGGACTGGTTGGATTCGGACTTGGAAATGTGACGACGGCGATGGCGGCAATTCTTCTTCCATGGTTTTTTTTTGTGGTAATGGAAGGTGGAGATATTTTCAAATGACTTCGTTGATAATGGTACTCATCTTGGAAATCACCCTTTCTATGCAAGGTGTGAATGTAGATTCGTTTTCTTTGATGGAAGGGCTTAATCAGATTGTTGAGCCTGGTGTGGATGGTGAATTAGATCTGGTTCGTGGCGACAATAGACATGTTCCATCTATTCTGTACATGCTTCATGCTTTTAGTTATTTCCAGTAGTCTAAAAATTTTCTTCATCCCGCCTTATCCTTCTCAATTGGTAATCTATTGCTGCAATTTGTTAATTGTTTATTGTGTTGTGATTCGGACAGAAATTAGCTCATGCTTCACGCTAACTCCCTGAGTGCCCACCTGACAACCTGATTTGAGAGGGTTTTTTTGTCATTTCACTTTTACGGCTCGATTACGGAACAAAAAATAAACTTGATACTCAAATTAAAAAAAAAAGTTTTGAGTACCAATCCCGGTTGGACCAAAAGTTCAAGATATTTATGGCCAGTTAGTCTTTTGCCTTCAATGTATGTTGATGAAAAACATAAGTTAAATGTAAACCCATCAGTTCGGATTTTTCTTCCATGACTTCCAAGTCATCACATCTTCTGCCAAATTTAATTTATTTTCTGTAACTGAATTCCAATTGGCAGAAGCACTTACTTAAAGTAACCAAAATGTACAAGTCACTAACCGACCTGAAGTCATTGTAACAAAAGTAAATTATTCTTTCATCCCTCAGTTTTCAAGGCAATTGTAGCTTAGTTCTTCAGTTTTCAAAAACCTACAATTATGTCCTTCACTTTAATTTTCCATTTATAACTTAGTTTTCCTTTTAATGCTTTGTTAATTATTTATCAAAAACCCCTTTAGAAGTTTTAATAATTGGTACTTTAAGCTAAATATTTTTACATATGCTAATTAAAAATCCAATATACTTTTAAAAATATTTTCCAATATTTGTTAAACATTAAATAATTCTAAAATTATAAAAAATAATTAAGAATGATCCTAAAATGTTTTAGGAGCTTAAAAAAATTATATAAACATATCTATGTATTCATAATATGATTTTTGAAATATTTTTGTACATGGTTTTCGAAACCAATTTATTTTAAATATTGATTAGGTGTTCAACGCAAATATAAACATATCTATGTATTCGTAATATGATTTTTGAAATATTTTTATACATGGCTCTCGAAACCAACTTATTTTAAATATTGATTAAGTATGCAAATATTATGAGATTCATACTATGAATAAACATATAAACATATATGATTTTTTTAGGAACAAAAAATTTGGGATTGTTCGAAATTATTTTCCATTTTTTTTCTGATTTTATAAATATTTAATGTTTTAAAAAAATTTAAAAATACTTTCTTGGTCTCAAAATCTTTTTAAAATTATATTTAAAAATATATTGGACTCTTATTAAGATGAGAAAAATTTCAAATCAAAATACCAAACATTGAAGTTTTTCAAGGAATTTTTAATAAATGATAATGGAGAATTAACAATACACTACCAAAAAGAACTAAATTATAATCGACAAATTAAAGTGAGGACATAAATGTAGGTTTTTAAAAACTGAGGAACTAAGTTACAATTGAGTTAAAAACTGAGGGATGAAAAAACAATTTACTCTTATAACAGTCACCATCAGATGGAGTCGTACAACCATAGCAAGAAAAAATGCTGCAACAAAATAGAAAATGTCTATTAAGCATATAATAAATATTACACATTAAGGCTGTGTATCTGGCCGATCAAGTCACGATATATGGTACAACATATTTATTTCATTCTAGCTGGGCCAATGCAAGCCTATTGTCCCCAAGTAGATTTTACTTGTACAATACACTTGAAAGCTCAAGAACGCTAAAAACAAGCTACTAGTAACATCAATAAATGATCATACGATTACAGATGAATGCAGTTGCATGATCCTGATTCATCATACCCTTAATAAGTTAACATGGAAGCGATGGCTGGAACTATATACAGCTGATTCCAGAAACAAGACAAACAACAAGATGCGTTTCCTTTCCCTTTGCCACCCTCCTCTCCTGTTTCTGAACTCCTCCATAGTTGCAATTCAGGTTTTGCAGACCAAGAGATCAAACGACCCCTGTTTGCACCTCTCCCTGGCAATGTTCTCAAAGGTTTTCCTTGTTACAACTGGACAGCCAAAGAGGCCAAACTGATGACTTCTCATCCGGGTGGCCAATCCATGTAGGAAATGAGATTTACCGACGTTGCTGGCACATCGCACAAATGGTGGCCGACTTAATATTTGCAAAAGTGCAATGTTCACAAGACCAGTGGCCTGGATCATCAATGTTTCTACTAGGGCCACTTGACCTAGATGTCGAGCCCTTGCCTCTACCAGCTCTTCCCCTACTGCTACCACCTCCCAAGCTCTTTGAGCTTGCTGTTCTGCTGCATGCACCATGGGAATCCACATCTGAAAGACCATTTTCTAAAGCCCGAACTAGATTCTCAAAGTAGTTCCGAGTTACGCTTCACATCAAAAAAAACTATCAACTCACAATTACAAAAGCAAGAACAAGAGAAAGGCAATTGAAGCAACTTGTCTGTCCGTCTTTGCCAATAGAACTGAGACTGATTCCTGCAGCTTCCGATTTGGGCTAAATTACCCAGATAGGAAACTATGTTTCTAGTAATGGTTTCATTATGTATAAAAAATACCTGGTCAACCCAGCAAGTTTTGTGCGGAACTCATTAAAATCTTTTGATGGACCATCTGCATTTAGGTAAATTTGGAGCTCCTTCTCTGCACATTGATGAAGCCGCTCCAATCCAGACTCAGCCTCACCTGTGTAAATGGCATTGATCAAAACACAGAAGGGTTGAACCATCTGCATTGAATTGGAAGAAATGGCCTACCTTGCAAATACTCAAAGAACTGTCTCTTGGCATGTTCATGCTCAGGTAAATAATATCCATAGGAATAAGTCCATTTTAGAACTCGTCTACATTCAACTATCTGCAGACAAACAAAACAAATAAATATCACACAAAAACAAACAAACAAGAATAATGTTAAGAGATACTTTAACTTTTACTAACAATTTTTTACTAAATGACATGGCATTTTGTCACTACATCAAACATTCCATTCCATAATTATGCTTGCGTCATTAAATGTGATAAGATTCACATCCCATTATTTGAAAAACTTCTGTATAAAAAAACACCATGTCGTTAAGCAAATTTTAGTAAAAAGTTCAAACATGCCTAGCATTAATCAATAAGAAATGTGTATTTGTACATAACGAAACAAAACAAATCCACTAATTAAGTCACGAAGGGATGCCATCCATTTACAAAAAACAAAAACCACATGAAAAAATGAATCATCAAACTCTAAGAAATCATCTATACTTGCGAGAGGTTCCCATGTATGCCAAATTTCTAATGTCGTGATCCACATAACTGAATTCCTTGCATATGAACGTGTATATCATGGATTTACAGTAACATTTGTACTCATACAGGACTGCTTACCTGTAGCCAGGCCTCTATTATGAACTTCAGCTGTGACTCTGGTTGGCACTGTATGTCACTCAGCTTCTCAAGCTACAAAAACACAAAATCATCACTCTCTGAAAGTTACACATGTATATTTTGTGTTCCCCAAAGAGATCAGGGTCTATTTCAAATTTCTTAATAAGGTGCAATCATCTTTGATTAAAATTTATTCTAGTGAGCTGTAATGATTCCACAGGCTTGATCTCTAGTGAGCTGTCCAATAACGGCAGAAATTTCAAGTTTCAAGTTTCTGGGTTGCTACCATAATATCTTGGTTGATATCAACCAAAGCAACTTCAGGAAAAAGAAGCACCGATCAACATGATATGCCTTTCAGGAAAAATTATAGTTTTACAGTTTCAAGTTTCTGGGTTGCTACCATAATATCTTGGTTAATATCACCCAAAGCAACTAAGGAAAACGAAGCACTGATCAACATTATATGCCTTTTCAGTAAAAATGACTCAGAATCAACTCTGCCAGGATTGCTGACCAATATATAGCTGAGTATATAGTGCTTACGTGTACATTTTGCATTTGCTGTAGGTCTGCCAGTGCCTTTTGCCGAGACTGCAAAGAGGAAAGAAAAAGTTCAGAATTTTATTTCAAAAAGCCATGAATTCAGATCAGTAACTTGTCAGGCAAGATTAGGAATTCAATACCCTGCAGAATATAAGAGAAAGAAAGTAATCATATTATTCAAAAGAAATACTGAGACAATATCATAGTATTACAGAGTAAGAAACCTGTGCCATATGACCAATCCAATGCATTTAATCAAATAATTGTAATCAGTAGTTGCTTTGGTTGGGCATATCATTGCTCAGCTGAGCACCTTTTGGTGCCTAGCACCTTATGGTGCCTAGCACCTTAGGTACAACGACTTAGTGCCTTGAGGGCATATTCATCTTTAAGAGTGTCAGTCTTATCATTCACTTCACTATCCAAATATGTACAGCCACAGTCAACCATCACTTCCTCCAGCTGCACTATACTGTATAGGCTGAAGCGAGTTTGTGCAGCTACTAGATCTTCAATCCCTTCCAAACTGAGTTGTCATTCTTGGAGTTGTTGGAAAATCGAACAGAGCATAAATTGAGTTTTCAATAAAAAACAGGAGGCTAATTAGGGTCCTCAAACAAAAATCCAAAATCTAGAATCCCGAACTTAAAATCCTCTATATCTATTCCTCAGTTTCATATTTCTCACAAAGTACAAGTTTCCTAAAAACGAATCCAGTTTTAAAGACCAAAGATCTACCTAAAAGTTTAGGGTCCTGACCGTCCAAAGATGTTTCTAAGAAGGCTAAAAGGGTCTAACCACCCATGAACTTTAAGTCATCTGAGATTGAGTTCCGGAATTTTTTTATTGGTTCTGGGGATCCCTAAACTTTAGAACTTTTGAAATTAAATTCACCCAATATTTTTCCGTCAGAAATAACAGAGTTGAACATAAGGCTGACTTTTCTACAAGTAAACAAAAAAAAAAAAAAAAACCATGTCTTCTTCACACTATCTCTCTCTATATCTCTCAGAAGCATGCCAGAACATGAACCCATAGCCCCTACTTCCAAAAATCCCCCATCTTGATCCAAACCCATGATCCACAGCACCAGAAGACCCAATTGCAATAGCAGCTAAATAATAAGGCACTACAACACCTCCATCACTTAACGAAATAACACCAACCTCTCAGCAACAGCAACATCAAATGCAGCTAAAATGCCAGTATCAATCCCTTCAGCAACAACAACAACCCATATCCATTGCAGAAAAAGTGAGCTCCTATTAACTTTCTATTACAAGAACTTGAAGTGAAGTCTTTACCATTAACACAAGACCCTTTCCATTTCGAAGCGACATGACCCGAATCACAGTCATTCAGGCCAAATACCAGTGTCGATAACTCCAATCACAAAATCAGACCCAAAATCCGACTCTTTAAGCAAACCAGCACTGTCAGTTGTTTTTAAACCGAAGAATTGAGGGGAGCATCTTGCTCCTTTGCAATTTCTAGCCAACACCTGTAATGTGCTCTTCCTCATCTAGATAAGCTTGTTCCTTGTTTGGGTTGTTTCTGGACACGATTTAGAATTAAACCAATCCCCAAACAAGACATTGCTGCTGATCTTGAATATGGTGAAGATGACTTCTTTCTTATGGTTCTTATCCAGATCCCATTTTGCAGAAGACTGAGTGATTTAGTGGTTGCTGGGTTTATTCTGGCACTCGCAAGAAAAGTGTTTGATGAAATGCCTCAAAGAAACTTAATTGTCCTATAATTCAATTCTTGATTTACTATTCTCCTTGCAGCCACATATATGTTGGGTTGAACTGAATTGAAATATCACTCATAATTGTTTCGGGTTGAATTCACTAAATATGATGGCAATTTGAACACACTCAATAAAATAGCAGAGAAGCGCAAAAAAGCAAGCAAGAAATTATAAAGAAAAAGCGGTAGACAGACTGAGTGATTTAGTAGTTGCTGGCTTTGTTTTGGCACTCACAAGGAAGGTGTTTGATTAAATGTCCCAAAGAAACTTAATTGTCCTATACTTCAATTATTGATTTACCACTCTTTCTTTGTAGTCACAGTTGTATTTGGCTGAATTGAATTGAAATAAAAAAGTACAAGAATGAATTTTTAGAAATCTCTTTACCAGTACACATTATTTATAGAAATCCCTTTACCAGGAAGGGTTAGCAAAGTCATCCACGTGTACAACTCAATTATTTCTGATGGAAAAATATTGGTGAACTTAATTTCAAAAGTTCTAAAGTTCAAGGATCCCCAAAACCAATAAAAAAATTTTAAAACTCAATCTCAAATGACTTAAGTTCAGGGGTGGTTAGACCATTTTAGCTTTCTAAAAATATCAAATAATGCTTTATACAGTGCTTCCCAGAAATATTTTTGATCAATGTGCACAAACATATCATCTGAAGGTCAATTAGTAACAGAGAAAGTAAATATCATATAAGGAATCACTTTCCAAACACAAAGGTCAGCTGGTTCTACTTACTGATTGATTGGTTGCCCATCGTTCATAATAATGAGTGTATCTCTCCAGAGAGTTTTTGGCCATTTCTCTTCGCTTCTCAGCCTCATCATACTGCAACCAGAAGAACCAATTGACGCAACATCAGATGACTACAAGACTATGCAAGAAGCATCAGAAGAAAGGTGCAAAATGTCTGATAAAAAATCAACATACCACTCCCTCTTGCTTTGCCGTCTCATAACGATTACATGCATAAAAACCACCAGTTCTCTCTCCATGATCTGACCATGCACCAAGGCAAAGCCTGCAATCATATTTAATAAAATGAGTAGGCTTAGAAATGCACAGATAAATAGCTTGTTTTTCATTTTTCTTTAAGCAGTCACAAACAGGGAGTTAAAAACAATCAGAGATAAAGGCATGTAGTTCATACAAGCTGAGCTCTTATTGAGTTGACAGTGTTATTAAAAAGATGCACTACAGAATCAAATCTGTTCCTGGAGAGAAGTGATGCCAAATTTAAGTAGAAGAAAGAGGTTGTAAAGCACTTATTCATAGTGCAATTCTGTATCAAGGAAATTCTGATGTTGCCAATGCAGATAAGATAAGATTGCCTAGATGAGAGAGATAGCACAACTTTTGTGCTAGCTTACCAACAAAATTCAAATTTGCAAGGTGGTGTGCATGTAATATGCATGCAGCCTTGGTTTTTCTCAATCGGTCGCTTGCACTTCGGGCAAGGCTTGGAATTAGCCAATATCCTGAAATTCAATGAACATATAATTTACTGTTAGGCAATAGTAAAGTTTCGAGAACAGACCAGATGACATCCTGAGACCTAATTATTATTTTGTAGGAAGGTAAGTAGAACTTCACACAAATCACATATGCATGCAAGCACAGCAATGCACTAAAAAAACTGTTTCCTCCAATGAGGCTCCGTGGGTAAAGAATGAATGCGTACCCTCAAAACTGGTAGTTGCTACGTTAATCTACAATACAGAAATAAGATTTAACTGAAAATTAAATTACGATTCATCTTTCCCCAAATTATCTATCAATAAACTTATCTGCAGTTAGGAACTTATATTTCTTGGGAAACAATACAAATCACAATGAGTTTCCATTTTTATAGGTTTCTGCTTTGGCCCCTATCTTATTCCTAAAGCCATTGGTTGGGAACATGGAAACTCTTTCTGCCCACATCCTGCCCACAACCTTATAAGCAAAACAGCACATGCAGCATGGATCACAAAAAAGATTATTTCTATTGTATACAGCTCAGTTGACTACAAATGGATATCCCAACTTTTTCCACATCAATAACTCTATCACAGCATCAACTTCCTATCAAGCGTGCTAGTTCTCAAGGAGTTGGAGAAAGACCTAGGTAAAAAAACGTGCAGATATAGCCATACTCTTCAGAAATGTGAAAGCTTTGCCAGTTCAAGATCCCAAGCCCTAAATTACATTCCCTTTTACCCAACAAACACCATACTGTCCTTCACTGACATCCTTCAGCGACTAAAACAATATATGATTAAAAAGAATAGCTCTGAATGCTGTACTCAGGTTAAATACCAGTTCATATTTTCAGACTCAGCACTGTTCTTCAGTATCCACTTGGCCACAGTACCGCAATCAACAGGACGGTGAGCTTCCTCAGCACACTGCAAAATTAAGTCCCTATGAGATACAATACCGAGAAAGGGAAACAATCAGGTGTTCACAAATGTGCAACTGTCATAAAAGTAATGTTTCTCAAAGAACTGCAAGAAAGATAGAGATCCATGAAAACTTAGAAAGCCTCACATTCCAGCAAAAGCTGTATGCGCAGCGGCAGGTAACATCATAGCTCCCACTGCCAACAATAAAATCCACAGCATAATCACAGCCAGGAGCAGGGCACCATTTGGTCTACAAAATAACCCAAATAATATTCATTACACAGCCAAAAAGAAGTTCACAATAAACGGGCCAAGTTTTCCCGGTTCCATGTGTTGTCATAAATCACGAAAAATAGATGACAGTAAAATTATCATTTTTTGTGGGAATGATTCAGACAACACTAAGCTCAATGAGAAGCAAGTTAAGGAATAATAAACGTAGAATTAAGGTTTAAAATTGATGTAGAGCCTGCCAAATCAAATGCTAAACCCTGGCTTCAGTTCCTCACTAAGCTGAATCCTAGAAATACAGATTTTCCAATACCTGATTAGACGGGGAGTCTTCACCCTATGTCACAAATAAGGATTATCAAGAAAGATCTAAGTAAGGCATGTTAGGAGCCGAAAGAAAAGAAGTCCTCACTCACTAGTCCATAAGCAAAGTCACAATCCTGATAGCTATATAGAGCAGGAATATAGCATGCACGACAAATGATGCGAAGATAAAGCCGTGATTATTAATCATTTTAATTATACAAGTAGAAAATTTATAATCTTGATGTTCATTCGTCATTTCCAAAAAAAAAATCTCATGCATTGGCTTATGATCACAGTAAATCTATACTCTTTTGCACTAACCATTATCAAAGGTAAATCTTACGTCAAAAGTAAAATCTGGTATATAAGAGAAAATTTCTGCACGTGCAAATTTCAGAATGCAGAAGTACCTTTCTATTGTCCTCAATATAAGATCTTATGAAATAACGAAAATATTTCTCATTGTCTTCAGCAGAAGTCAATGCATTAATCATATCTTGACCAACAGCAGCATTACAAGTTGGATCAGGACATCGTAACATCAAACATCCAGGACCGTCATTAATGGCTGTGCTGATGTAACCTTGAAAGCAAAAATTGAGGGGGAAAAAGTATAAAGGTTAAATTAAAACAGAAAAATTAAAGTGTTGCTGTGAGTTCTGGTGTGCAAAGTGACCTATAAATTTCCAGGTGAGAATTGCTTCTTTTTAGCAACATAAGCTAGAAAAGTAATATTCCTAACCATTACTTATCATCAGCATATACATGATGGAGCAATTTCCATTTTTTCTACGCGATAATTAGACATGAAATTTTGGAATCTTTTTCAATTACTAATACAAACCAACTAATAAACAATAGAACCATTATAATTCTCACACGTTAACTTTCCTCCCAGTGCCCATTGAGACCTCAAAAAACTAGATGTTTTGACATAAACAACATGACTGTTACTACCTTATGAACAATCCAACAAGAAAAGAGCATAAACTTCTAGATCTCACCCTAATCTTCTTCTTCCAACCTTTTGGAGTTATCTCTTCCTATTGAATAGTATAATTTATATAAAAAAGGTAAAACGTAAAAAAATATGGATAAAGTCCCATGAAGATAGAGCAATTCTACCCCATACTCAACAACTTGACCACCACAGTTTCTCCATTTGTGGTCTGCAAGTAACTGCAACCTCAATAAATATACAGCTAACTTCAAAACCACCTGGTTATGAGTAAACCTTATCCTCACTTAGAAGGAGATGCTTGAACATGTCACCTCTACTTGTTCACATAATATCACTTTTTTGTTCTGTATTTCCCAGAATAATGAAAAAGGAACAGTGTAAAAGGGAAAGTAGATGTTCGTTAATCAGCTCCTGACAAGAGTAAGATATTGCCCTTGAATTAATGATGAACTCTAACTGACACATTTGAAATAATGCATCTTCACTATGAATTCCAAACTGATAGGAAAATTATTTAAAAATATATCTAACAAGGAGTCCAGCTGGACCCCAAAAAAAAAAGAAAAAGAAGTTTTTCTGCACGCCCACATCTATTGCCAACTCTTTAGGGATTAGGAATGCCACTCCATGATTTTTGCCCTAAACCAAATAAATTTAATTCTGCAAAACAAACTTTCAGCCGGAAGATATTTTTGAATTGCCAAAATGCTCCCAAAAAAAAAAAAAAAACAACACAATCAACAATGCAAAAGATCATTCAAAGGTAATAGATGTTTAGGGAAACCAGTCACATCTTTTTTTTGCAAAACCACCATAGTTTCACAAACCTATCAATTATTAAGGCAGGAATACAAGAATGATAAACTGTCATTGCAGTATTTAAGATAACCTTACAATAAAACTAACAGAGATGAGGCTTTTGTGTTCCTGGGATATAACATACCTGCCCAACATGAATTGCAAAATGGATGACCACAAGCTGCAGTACGCAATCTATCAGAAGGATAAGTTTCAAAACAAATACCGCAGGTCATCTGTCAAAATAGTAACATTCATCACAACAAATTCACTAACAAAAAAATAAAATAAAATAAAGAGAGCAAGAAAACAAAACATGAACTGCTTACTTCTTTACCATCAGGAAACAGAACAACCGGCTCCTCCAATAAACCCACAGCCTTTCGAACCTTTTCCTCATCCGCAAACCATTCATCATGCACTTTACTCACACTCCTGCAAATCCAGAGAGGAATCAAAATATATTTCACGAAGATGAAAACCAACAAACCAAAAGGCTCAAATTATTCATTCAAAGAAACAAAAGACCGAAATATCCAATGTGAAACTGTGCCAATTACTGCCTTACCAGTTATAGTACCGGAGAAGTATACTGGCCGCAACCTTTGAAATGGAAAGCACAGTAGCTATCCTCATGACATCATCATCTTGTCGCAGCCGTATATCTTCTTCACTCAAAATCGTATAGTTTTGCTATCACATTAAACAAATTCATCAGTAAATAAATTACAAATTTCATTCCAAAAATGTAAAGATATGAAAAAAAGAATCGAAGTTCACTGATAAACTACATAAATCACAGCTTAAAAAAGATACAGAAAACAAATGGTATCAAATTGGGATGATAATTACAGGATTGCCACAAGGAGTAAAAAATACCTGGTGGCGATGAGAGATGAGGTCATCGGAATCATCCGAATCGTTATCGATGAACTCGTAATCGGCGACGTCCGCATCGTCGCTGTCGAAACCATCTTCTTCTCCGCCGCTGTAGAAATCATCCTCCGCCGATTCCGCCGCCGCGTCTTGCATATCGAACTCGTCCTCCGACTCCATTGATTTTCAGTTTGTTGCGTTCTTAAAACCCTAAGAAATTGATACAATCTATAGATGATTAAAGAGATAGAAGAAGGGAGAGAGGGAGCTATTGGAGGGCGGAGATTGAAAAATAGAGGAAAGGAAGGGTGAAATGGAGATTTGGTGAAGGGAGAAATGAGAGGAAAGTGAGGGAGAGCGGAAGACAAACTTTATGGTTTTGGTTTTGGCTTTGGTTTGGTTTAGTTTGCTTGCTTTATTTTTTCGATGGAGAAGGAAACGAAAAGAAAGAGAAATGAATGGTATTTTTTATATAATAATAATAATAATTAGGTTCGATGGTTTAGATTAATTCAATTTATTAATAGATTATTATTATATGGTAAAGAAGGATTTTAATTTTTAAGAGAGAGATGATGGCGATGATGATGGAGGTTGGGTCTGAGACAACTTTGTCACTTTCCACCATTTGCGAAAAGGGTGGAGAGAGAGACTATAAGACTGAGATAACTTTTGCTTTTATTTAATAATTATTTATTGGAGGAGAGACTGTGATAATCCGTAAAATTTCTACTTTTAATTCTCTAAATTTGTAAATTACACTGTTTAATTTCAGAGTTTTGGCAAAATGATTCTTACCTTACACACACACATATATATAGGAAAAATAGACATCTTGTGTCTAGACTATGAAAGTTCGGAATTTAAGAAAGCTGAACCATTACTCTCAAGAAATTTGACCAATTTCACCATTGAAAAACTAATGCATCCTTAGCACTAACCTATTCTTTTAGTTGCTAAATTTTGATTTTGAATCTAAAATTTAATACTTGCACATTTTCACTTCATTATTTGGACATTCAAGATTTAAAATGCTCCTTTTTCAAAAAAAATGAAATTGTACATGATGGGCTGTTTCACAACCTTATTCGCCAGTGATTGAACTTAAACCATGTTCATTATTATTTTCCAAGACTTCGTTAAAGGTGAAAGTTGATTCATGATCAACTTCAAAAAGGTCAAAGGAGACAGACGACTGTTGCGCCACTTGACAGCGATTGTACCAATAATGGTCATTTTGCTCAGCCAGAAAAAGAAAATGGTGGGGGTAACCGGGAAAGGGACGAAGAAAGAAATAAGCAACCAGAGGAGCCATAAATGTGAAGCCGGCGACAACCAACATGGTCAAGGGAACGTGTAATAAGAACAAGAAAAGCTTTTTAACAAAAAGGGTGCAAATTTAGCGTAAATTTGAGGTTGGTTAAACCAGCATTTGCTTTTGGTACCAACAGATTTGTCCCATCCAAAACCTGCTTTATAATGGCCCTCAAAACGACCCCATGCATCTGATGGCATTTTGGAGCGGTAAAAAGCGCAACAATACCGTGCGAACCAGTGCCTAGAAATCATCAACATGAATGACCCAACATCAAACATCAGGGTACTTTGCTCTCTTTCGCTTAGAATCGTACAGTACCTCGATAATTGAGCTTACCTTTCCAAAGAAATCAACACATCAAATTTCTTCAATGCAAGGGGCTGCTGCCACCATTCCAAACAAAACCCCCAAGGTCAACACCTACGATTGAAAAGAGGTTCCTTTGACTCCTCTTTTGAAGCAGTCACCAGAAGATCACAAAACCTGAATCAAGTTTATGGTGCTCAAAAACTAGAATTCAAAATAAATAAGAAGAGTCCCAGAAATCCAATCCTTCCGAGCCTGCACCATATTGTTGTTTTTGAGAGCATCGATGCAAGACATTTACACGGAAAAGTTAAGACAAAAAAAAAAAACAGTAACACGAGGTAAGAAAAAATCCGGAGGAGAATGGTAGCTTTCTGCATTGTATAAGTACGAGTACAAAATTTGCTACAGCTCACTATAAAACTGTTCTTTTCCTGTCTGTTTCAGAAACCCGACATTATCAATGCCCCTCGACACTTCAAAGATGGTTAGCGGACCCTTGCTCAATGGATGATGAGGGTCTCCGTGGACAAAGATGCAGGGAATCCTTAAATGAAATAAAGAATTTCTTTTACAGCATTTATTCCATGGTGTTGTTAAAGCTGCTAATCTTCTCAGCTGTATTTATAAATGCACCCTCTATAAATTTACACCCCAAGACCGTCCCTGCATTCGGATATCATAAAAAAGCTGTAGTAAATAGCTTAGGGATATTTCATATACAAATAAAAAAATAAATCATCTGGGCTTCACAAAATGGGGTCCGTGAAAATCACGTGGGGAGATTTTGGGGTTACTCTTGTCATTCTACAACTTCAGAATTTGTCACTAATTTTGTGCTTTCATTTGTGATGTTGTGTTTCTGGGCCGTTGCTTATAACTTTCTTGAGATCCTTCACATTCTTGATTTGATGTTCTTCTAAGTGATTTGATAGGCAAAACCTTAAACCAGATAAATAAATAAACTCTGGTAGACCAACCTAATAGAACTTCAAAATGAATTAAACTTCTTTACGAATTGCTTCTCTTCTTCTATTAGTGCAAGGCACCACGCCCTATAGATTTTGTGCATAGGTTCATTTAATTCTTCTATACCTACTTTCCCAAAGAAAAACAGGATATCTAAGGCTCCTAGTTCTTTTAGTTGCCAACTGGACCGACAGAACAGAGTTGGGGAATTTCATTTATAGGCAGATGATCTGTGCATCCATGCAACACAAGTAGTTACGGGGGCCTTATCTTTGTGGGACGGGCAAAAGTATACCAATTAGTTGCAGCATCAGAAAACAATAGTGTAGATCCATACCCACTAGAAATTCTAGATGGGAAGCAGTGGTGCCTTTTCATCATGTCCAACACGATGACTAGCCTGGATGGAAAATAGCAAAACAAGAAGTTATGAATCATGTTTCATTGGTCGAACTCTCAGAAAGACCATTTTAACAGAATTGAACATGAAACTTCTTACATCGTCATTTGCTCCAGCTGCCATATTTATGAAGGATGAATCCTTAGACCTGACATATCAAACAGAATTTCAGAAAAAATATCAACCACAATATCAGGAAGAGCTGAAAGTAGCTCGAAACTTTATCAGTAAAGAACATTAAAGAAAACTTCTCACATGGAAAAGAGGTAAAGCAGATGATATGAATGCTAGTGTCATTCTCATTGAAAACATGCAAGGTGACTTGGAATGGCAAAAGCTGTGAAGGGGAATTCACAAACAAGATTTTCAAGAAAATGAGTAGGAATTAGGTTGACTAGAAAAGAAAAAAGGCATGGTTCTGTGGTCATGGAAATTGATGGAAAACTCTCTTTATCCATAGCAAGGCATTTATGCCTTACAAACTGGGAATTGACCTTCAAACATCCAATGCTCATTAATAATCTACTATTGTATCATCTGTCTTAAGCATTTCCTTCATTGTTATATAAAACAGTGCACTTGTGCTCAAATAGATGAGATCGTTTCAACTAAGCAGAACGTGATCACCTAACCTGAATGGGCTTTTTACAAAGACAATTTCAAAGGAATCAAAATACTATGTCTAAATTTTAGGCATTCCTATCTCCTGAAAGGTATTCTGATCCTAAGGAGCCCAATACCTCAAGGTCACAAAAAATGAGCTTCAAAGACTTGGATCTGGAGTGCCTTTACAAAAATGAAAAATGTGTCTGTATGCCCTCCTGCAATTCCCCATCATTCTAGACTGGGGCCTGTCCATTTTTTACGAGCTAAGCAAGAAAATAAATAAATAAATAAAAAAATAGGAATGACAATGGCTGCATTCATTAAAGAAAAGATTACTGGTGCTGCATCATGTAGGAATATTTTTTTTTTTTTTTTTGGGGGGGGGGGGGTGAAAAAGCATTAATATTGGGAGTTCAGAGAAGTCATCCCTAATGATTATGGAATAATTCACAAATGGTAAATGAAAATGTGCTAAGAGATCAAGAACCAACCTCTGGTTGTTCTGACTATCTACCATTTCCAAACTACCATTTTGTTGTTCATCCTTAACCTTTGAAAGTGGCGAAAAGAACTGAAAAATATATGATATTGTGTGAGCCAAGTATCCAGATAAGTAAATAATCCCCTCACCTCAGCCCATTCTATTCCCCTCCTTCCTGTCTCATCCAAGCCCCCTCTCCAGTGAACAAAGAAATTAAATATCTGCAAGGTCTAGTATTTACCTGGTGCATGGAGATAAACACAATAGAGATTCCTAAGATAAAATTCATTGTCAGGGTGTGACCAAAAAGTGCAGCAGATGCTATTCCCGTAAAAATTGTTGCTACTGTTGACGAGTACTTTTTCAAAATTGTATCTGCATGAATCAGAGGAAATTTTGATTTAGAAAATACGGAACATAAATGAGATTGACCCCAGTACTTGAGATATATGATTTTAAGTCCAAAAAGTACTCCCTCGGTTACTTTCATAAATTCTTCTAGTCTCTTGTTTCAATTTCCACTATTTGTGAACAAGATATGTTGGGATATAATGAGTGCCTATTTATACATCAATACTTAAAAGTCAACTTTGTGTTTGATAGCAACAGAAACTGGCATAACTTCCGGTACAAGTATTAAAATATATGTGATTTTAACCAGACAAAAGGAAAAGAAGAATAGTATAATACAGTTAGCTCTGTACCTTTCCAAAGATTATCTATTGTAATGAATGAACTAGATGTTTATCAGTAAACTCTTATCTTTTATTGCAGAGAGCATAGATCACCAACTTCGCAATAGCAACCGTGATAGACATGCATGAAACAGCTGAAAGACAGCAATACGTAACGATGAAGGACACTAAAGAACAAAATGGAAAATCACCTGCATATTTGAAAAAGAAAGAAGATAAAATCCCTTGTGCTGCATTGTTACATATCAACAGCATGGTAGCTTTTGAATGCCCTTGTAGTATATCCAAGCTATCAGGACCTAATTATAGAGAGACAGAGATTTAAGCAAAAAATCAAATTTACATTTACTTTTGCGACTATGAAGTAGCATTCTGATTCATTAATAGTCAATGCTTTCATCACACTACTAACTACCCAAATCCAACACATAAAAATTCACAGAGAGGAAATGCAAACATGTGAGATTAGCAGAACCAACTAAATCTAGGTAATGATTGAAAGTTTGTTCTCCACCAAACGCATTAAACAGAACTCATGGCAAATGCAATACCCTGTTAGAACAAGCACTCATGAACAACATGCAGCATGTGCATACCTTCAAATATGGCAGTCACAAGAATGGCTAGGAAGTTGAATATGGCACCATACCCATACAGGAAAAGGTTCTGAACAACATGGAACACAAACTTTCTTGTAAGAGAATATGAAATAATCTTTCAAAAAGAAAGGCAGAATAACCATTAAGTTTCTGTACAGGAGCATCTGGTGGTGGAATTAACCATGAGGCCCTGCAAAGGACCCCACTATTCCCCCTCAGGTTTGCCTGAGATGAAGGAAGCAATCCATGAGGAGACAATGTTATACTAAACTAAGGTTACAGGTCAATAAACAACATAACAAAAAAGCAATAAGCATCAGATGCTATAGCACTGGAAACCACCTGAAGGTAAATGCTAGTCTCAAATTGACTCTTCAAAGCATACTCATTGAAGACCGAAGCGAATGATGGAACACTAACCTGCATGAATTCCAAAAGTTAGCTCCCATGATATTACACTCTCTAGAACAACCTGCTATGTTATTGTCAAAACCAATACAAGACCAATGCCACAAAACCAAACTGCAACAGGAACTGGCTAAGCTGCAGGTGTGGGAAAAGGGTGAACAAAGTATATGCAAACACACAGATTGGCATCACATGGGAAAATTTGTGGCCATTCCTCCAACTTGAAAATCTAACACTCCAGTATGTCCAAGATATTGTGGGGGAAGGCAATGGCCTTTAGAAGCCAGTAGATGGAAATGTGAACCCAGGTATTATAGAGCAGTTCTTACTCATCAGCCAATGGAGGGACAAGCCAATATGTTTACGAGAAGCTGCTTGGTCAAGGGACCAAGGCAAGGAGAGAAGAAGGCCAGTTCCCAGCTTCAGTAATTAGGCAAATTTAAAGAGCTATATTTCTGAAAGCCATATGCATATAACCATAGCATTTCATGACATATTTTCAGTCCTGCGAAATAAATTTCTCTTGATCCTATATTTTAAAACACAGAATTTCAAACATGTTCACCAAGAAAAACTTCTTCCAGCACATCTATGAGAGTCTATACAATGAAGTAGCTTTCCTGCCATGGCCCTATGTATTTTTATACATATATGCGTGCATGAGTGCATCTGGTGAATGTTGTTCATTATATCTCTATTTCATTTCTCTTTCATAACAAATTTTGTTTTCCTGTAAGAACAAAACAACGCATATCCGGAGCAAGCTTGCATCTGGGCAAGTGCATGTTGTGCATCTATTTCATTGTGCCCTTGACATTCCAGCAATTCCACAGTCGAAAACAGTTTTGACCATCAAGAAAGAAGATAATTGCAAACTATCTAAACACCTAATAACTGCTCAGGAACAAAATTAATGCATATTAACACAGGACAAGTCTACAGGATACTTACAAAAATCAGTGTGTACAAGTATGCCCCTGTTGCAACTGGAAGACCCATTGCAGTGGACCCTGCAGGCAGAGTTTGTAACTGATTCAGACTAATCCCAATGAGCAATAGAGCAAGAGCTTCCCACTGCCAAAATAATGATGAATCAATATCACAAGTATGGGTCAAATAAAAAGACATAACAGTTTGGGACACACACTTTCTAGGCATCCAACTATCCAATCAACTATTCTTCCTAAAATTCAGAATCAAAGTTGATATACATCCATGAGAAACAAATGTTCATGTTCACCTGAATGATTGAAAATCGCCGTTTCATGATCATCTTCAATAACACAGCAATCACCAAAACCTGAAATGTTTATGATCCACAAAGGAAGATTTAACATTAATAATACTCAAGAAAAAAGCAGTAAAAAAGACAAAGTGAGTAGATCATTCCATCCTTCCATGAAAAGAAAAAGGGAACAAAGTCTGCCTAATGAGCCAGTTTTTTCCTACATCTTCAACTTTCAAATCCAATTTTACAGGCAGATGTGTCATAGTCAAATGAACTGACACTGAAGAAGTCTAGATACTCATTGGAAGATTAAAGAGGTGCAGATAGAGTCTTAAACGTCCAAACAAGAATTCTACACTATGAGTGAGCAGGAAACTAATTTATCACAAACCCGAAAGGAAGTTGAAAGCACATTATTCATTATGTATGTACTTCCATAAAGCATAGACTCTAGATATTTATAAAAAAACTATCACAATTTTGAATGTCCTCTATAAAAATCATGCAGCGAGCTACCTTCAGGTTGCTCAGCATCTTCACTGTGGCAGGATTAAAGTAAAGCTGCACAACAATAAGTAGAAAAATTAGAGATGAAAACAGCCATAACAATTTAATCCAAAAAAATATCAGCAACAAATTATATCTTCCAACAGTGTACTTCTACTGAAGGAAAAAACAAAACACTTGTATCTTCCCAGACTCAAGAGGAAGTTAATCACTATACATAATGTAAAGAATATTTTGCACATTGATTCAACAAGAAAAATTATACCTGCATAATAAACTTCAAATAATTGTTAATCGCATATAGGAAAGCTGGAACAGCAAGAAGCACGTTGTTTCGAGCAGCCTGCAGTGAGAAGAAAAGGAATACAAAATCTTAAAGTTTGGAAAGTCTAATCCTGCTCAATCAATATGGCACTCAGAAAGTCACAAAAGTAAGGTAAGTGTGATAAATGTGCATGCCAAAGAGACAAATGAACTGGTAAACTTCAGCAAGTTTAAGTCAAAAAAATCAATATGGTTTAAGCAAAATGGCAAGATAAAGAAAGATGTAAGTGACAATATAATTAACAATAGGAGAGACTCAACATTCTATTGTGAAAGATAGATCACTTAAGGGGCACAAGGTAAACCACAAAACCAAGAAAATAGAACCATGTTGCAATCAGATTCACCATGTTGAAGAATCTTAAACTCTCCAACAAGGTATGGAGAAATGGAACTAAAAGACACCCTCTGTGGACTCGCGAATGGTCCAAAAAGTTTTCTTTAAAATAAAAATACATTTATGCCCCCAGAATATACAAGGTTCTCCACCGGAACATGCATATGATTACATTCAGTTTCATCTCATTGTCTTTAGCTCCATAGGCATAAATTTTTGTAGCATGGATCACAAAAGTTGACGCTTTTGTTTTCCTTCAAAGTAATAGAGAAAAGGGTAATCAGTATTGCTTATTAGCAAAATTGATGAGCTTTTGAAATCAGCTAATCACATTTATCGTTGAAAGCACAATTTTTGGCCCTTCAGTAAGTCTACAGAACACTGTTTGTGAATGAATAAAAATCAATAGAAGAGGCAACATGCAATGCACCACTTTGAAACTGATGCGTGATCCAGAGATCCACAAGCCATGATGAATCTTTTGAATGTTGAAAAAAAAAAAAGCGCAAAGATAAAGTCAAGGTAATTCCATTTGATAAAGTAAGTTACAAAAAGAGAAGCTATAAATGTCATTCACGATATTCTTCAATCAAAACTGAAATAACGATGAATACTAACGTATGTTACCTGGGCAAAGGTAGAAAAAGAAAGAAGAGACTTTTCCCCAACTTTTTTTCGTCGATGCTGAGAAAACAAAGATCAAGAAAAACAAAAGTAAAGAAAGACCTAACAAACATTTACAAAAAAAATAAAAAATAAATTAATAACATAAAAAACAAATCTCCAACCACAATTCATAACAAAGTCTATGACACATCTGACATGTTTCTTACTACAACACAGGTTCCAATGGTCAGGGTAAATCCACCTAGCTGAATGCAATGTTGAGCACACCAAAATGCATTAACTAAGACTGTAAGAAAACCAGGCTTAATGAGCTGACACATTGGAGGAATGGGAGGAGCCACGTTATCAATTTTGGTAAAACAGTAATTGGGGAAGGACTAATATCGAAAAGGTACATTGTCAATAATGATAGAGAAGAAGTTTTATTCAAAGATATTCTAGTTTCATGTACTAAAACTTTAACTGCAAAATGGAAACACCTTGTAACGGTAAAGACAAATCATCTTTTGTCTCCAGTCATCCTTTAAAACACCTCAAATAGAAGTAGAAGGCCATGAGAATCTGAGCAGGTTGCATTGCATAAATGATTTAAAGACTTTAACAACTAAAGAAAGCATCATAAAGGAACCAACATGGCAAGTTAAATGGTGGAGTAGAACCTCATTGTTCCAAGTTGACTTTGTAGAATTACATAAATTAATGGCACTAGCTTTTCCTAACTTATAGTTTCTCTCAGAACTACATGGAACTATCTTAGAGGCAACAAACTAGCTTAGCTAGTAAACAGTAAACTCATTCAGTATCATACTAAGAGACCTAAGATCAATTCCCACTATTCCCACTTACACCCAGAGACACGACTCGTGAGAGATTGAGGGAGGATCACAGTTACCCGCATTTTGCACCAAACTCAGCAAACTTCCCAATGAACCAAGAGAAAAGCTAGATTGAACTATATGAGAGCAAGTAAAGGACGTCTGAGCGAGATGTAAACTATTCCTCCCTAATCCAATATATCAACAACAGTAATTTCATCACTTGATTCTTTTTCACCATCATTTGTAAATCACTTCTAAGCTGTCTTCTCTCCTCACACTATTATTACAAAAACTCTCTTCCCTTTTCCCTTTTTTTTTTTTTTTTTAAGAAAGAACTTCTATGTCTTTTAACCCCTCTTTCCAGTTGGTAAATAATTCCATTCTACCTCATACACGGGATATAACAATTTATGGCAAAAATCTCTGTTATGCTATGACAATTTAAAAAGAGCAGGGAGGTGAGTACTAAAACCCAATAAAAAGTAGAATTCAGTGGCATTGAGAGAACAAACGAAGAAAAAGATGCGTAAGTAAGTCTATACCTGGACCAAGAGCATAAAAATTGCAAAAACAACTTTTGCAGTCTCCGTCAAGAAATTAACACCTATAGGACTATAATCGAATTTCCCATTCTTCTTTGATATATACACCAATATAGGCTGCAACATAATAATAACAAAAAATTAAAAATAACAAAAATTAATATTTTCCCGGTACTTTACATATCAGATCAATAAGTGAATTCTTTTATAAAAAGGAAAAGAAAATCACCTGGAGACCGACTAAGATGCAATCACCAACAACCAAAAGAAGATTAAGAATGCGTGTTTTAGACGACACATCGCTTCTATGTTTATCGTATGCTCTCACTACTGCTTTACTGTTATTATTTGCTGAAATTTTCGAGTGGCATACACTGCATTCTATCATGTCTGCTCCTTTCATAACAAAATAAAATCACATTTTCACTCAAAAACATTTGAAAAAATCCGACATGATAACAACAAAAAGATGAACAACAATTTTTTTTTTTTTTAAGGATACCTTGAGTGAGTTGGATCTTGCTGAAGTGAAAACGTCGGAGATCGAAGGAATTCCTCAAATGTGAGAGCGAGAGAGACGGGAAGAAAGGAGTGAAAGAGTAATCTGTTTTCGATAGATCAGAAACGGGGATATCGATTAATTAGGAAAAGGAAAGAAGAGTTTAGTTTTATCTGTTTGATCATTAGGAAAAGGAAAGAAGAGTTCTGTTTGGTTTGATGACAGCTGAAAGAGAGACAGACGGAAGAGGAACTGTTACAAGGTGAGTAAATTGGAGAGAAATAGTGGTGTTTTTTTATTTGATTTATGTTACGTATATAAATAAAATAGTAAAAAAAAAAAATTGGTGAAATGTAACTTCACTCGCTGATTCTCGTCTCTTACGACTTTCGAAAAAAAAAATTCCCTCTCTTTTTTAATTATTATTTTATTTATCTTATAAAGGGGTTTTTTTTTTCAATAAAAAAGGGCTTGTTGAAAAATTTAACTTCTCATTAATAATTTGTTGAAAATCAGTGGAAATTCTTCGCTTTGATAAAAAAACAAGATATTCAAAATGGGACTCGCAAGAAAAATCCCTCTTGCGAATAGACAGGGATGGAAATGGATAGGATCAAAACAGGTTTTTAATGCATCTCTATCCCACTCTATGCATGTCTGCCCATCATTTATATCCGGTCAGATTGATTTAGGTGAAACATTTTTTTCATCCATAGTGCATTTCAATCCATCCTTTTTCTTCATATTTATAAAAAAAGAAAATTATCTTTTAAAATTTCTTGTAACACCTTACAAAACTACCTCCTATAAAATTTATATAAAAAATCTAAAGTACTCAATAACATATTTTTATAAGTAATATTTAATATATCAATAGTATATGTGATCTAAAGATATAAAATTATTTAATTAAATATTATTATTGATGAGTATTAATTAGTGAATTATTAGTAGTATAAATCATTCAAGTCTCTTTTATGCTTAAAGATCATGTATATGGCGTTAAATTATGTTCTTACATGTTAAACTTACCATGTCAAGTACTTTAAAAAATATATATATATCGATTACTTAACTTGTGTCGTTTATTGCTAAGTACACAATAAAGAGATACTATTATATAATATTTAAGAGACACTAGGGTAGTAATTTTACATATGATTAATTGATAACAACTAATTATCATTACAGTAATGGTTCATAACCATAAATTAAATTTCAATTATGAAGTAAGGTAAGAAACTTGGATTGATGTTTATAAGATTTTCAATATAATATTGTGATAATAATTATATATATTAAAAAATTAAAGGAAGAATTTTTTTGTTATATAAAGTTAAAAATCTAGTTAAAAAATAAAGATTGTATAATTAGATTTGTTTCATAGAGACTATATGATAATTATACAATATCAACAAAAAAAAAAGTTAAAATACCGGATCGGATGTGTGTTGGGTTCACCCACATCCGACCAAAATGAAATAAAATCGGTTTTTATTTGATAAATTTTGATTGATATTGGATGTTCAATAAGAAGTGAAATTACCATCCTTGCAAATAAGAGTTTAAAAGACAATAGAGTATTATTTCGGAAATCCTATCGGTGGCTATGCAAATACTTTGAATTAATTCTTACCCTAATGACATTGATATAGGATCTAACTGCATTAAAAAAATAAAGTTGACATTGGAGGAGTTTAATAAGACTATATGGTCCCAACCTTCATAACAATGCCAGTTCTGGCTTGCCGTAAAACCCAACAGGATCTCCTGTTGGACCCAGAAAAAAATTCTACCATCATTCTCGAATTGGTGGGAACAATATTTCTGTCTTTTCGATATTTACAACAATGGTTTGCCTTGGTGGTTATATATAATTTTCAGGTGCCCACCGACACTGTTCTCGTTATGTCACGACAAGAAATTTCATCAACTTAAAGAATCAAAAGTACTGTTAATGTTAGACACCCGATGGACATGGTGATCCGATGAAACAACCGTATCGCCAAACTATTGGATCGATTGGTTGAATTGTTGGATCAAATATAAAATGACAACGCGATACATAATTTTCTAAAATAGAGGTATTAAGTTCTGGCTACACAAATTATCATTTTTCTTCTTTTTAAAAAAAAATCTAGTTAATGCTTAATCTAATTGTCCAACTGGCTAGATTTGACTGGTCTCTTCTAGTCATATGAACATAAACTGATTAGGTAGCTGGATTACTAGATTTCAGTTGATCTGGTTATAGTTTAACATTATTATTAGGCAATTGTGTGGACATTAAGGGTTTCGGGTCTGTATCCATAATTATAAATGCTAGGGAGTTCCGGGTCTGTATGGATAATCAATGAAATACAAAGCTCTCTGAATTTATCCGCAAGTAATTTTCTGTTCTTGGGCTTCTGAGGTAATGCATTTTCAGACATCTAGGAAACTCAATATTCTGTTCTACATTAACGCAATGTAATGTTTGTCATTCCCTCAGACCTGTTGACCGGTGAACAACAGTAGTTTCCTCTCTAGATTAATATCTACTATCTCGGAGTGGAATTCAATATCTAATTGTTTAAATTTCTCGTCTTACAGCTAAAAGTAATGCTATTCATTTCAAAAATTCATCACATTTTGGTTTTTAAATAATATTAAAACTTCTCGTCTGAAACCCATCAGGTAAAAGTATGCTAATATTACATTGTTGTCTTACAGAATTCATCTATTGAAAAAATATAAATTATTAGATAGAGACACTCATTTATTAAGTGAATTTCGATGAGTATCCCATGTATTAATTAAGTAATCTCATATATTATTAATTAAGTGAATTTCGTTAATAATTCTCATAAATTCAATTGTTGATATTTAATATCTATAAGTAAATTCTTAAAATAATAATAATAATAATGCGACAGTCAAGTTCTTCTTATCCAAGTTGTGTTCGAGGCAGTAATCAAAGCTTTTCTGGGTTTGTCTAACACAATGCGTTGACGACTTGCAACCGGTACGTTTTGTCTAAAATTATTTTTATTTTATTTTAAGATTCAGATTGTTAACTAATTTCACTGTATCTCTAATCAACAAGATACGATGAATGTTTTGACCAAATAAGAGAAATAAAAAGGGGCGGAATATAAGGCAAAAAAGATTCCTTACTTCATTTCGCACCATTATTACCGCATGTGGTTGAGGGAGTAACCAGTCCCACCTCACCTAAATCACATACATATTCGAGTTGCATAAAAGACTTCAATTGGGATTCCTATCCTATAAGGTCAACTAATGTTAAGGCAGTCAGCTGTGAGCAGTTGTAATCCGACCATCAAAGTTCAGTATTTTGATAAAACAGAACGTGGAAAAAAAATTCACAGTGAAGAAAAAAGAAAGAAAGAAAGATCAGTACTCTTTTTGACAAGACAATACACCAAACGATCGGTGGAACTAAAGAATATACCAGCACTTAAACTGCCAAAGCTTGTGATATGTCTTAGCATCTTTGAGACTTGTTGAAGAACATGGAAACAATGAAAAAAGGAACAAAGGATGCACCAAGAAACTGCTGAGCAGACACAAAAGTGAAAAAAAGGAGATGTTCAATAAAAGAAAATGTTCATTTTGTCAGGTGGCAAATTTATGTAAGGATTATAACCAAGAAAATGGTAGGCACAACCTTCATTATCTGCTCTCCACAACATACATCAAAATTTAACATCGTCAAATCTATTTGGTTACTACAGCGGCGGATTTAACAACTCCAGCTGTTAATGTTGTGCTACCCTTTCCTATGTCCCCAAGACACAAAACGGGAATGGAACTTGTTAGAAATAAATTTCAAGCAGAACATCAGCAAAATATAAATAAAAGTGAAAAAAAAATCTATCTTGCTGATTTCTGTAAAATGCGACGTCTCTTCTTCTAAATTTCGAAGGCAAAAATATAGGAATGTATATCTGCAATTATAACTGAAAAAATAAAAGATGGACCTAAAGGCAGCGCCAATATCCTTACATGCTCACACAGCTGCAGCTTTGAGTGAAAGAAAATCAGAAATTTTGTTGGTGTAGAAATCTGGTTGGATGGAGTTGCTTGGACTTTGAAGCATTGACAATGAGGTCACACCTTTTTGGAAGAAAATCCTCAATTAGAGTACATACAATATAAGGAAGAAGTTGGGAAAGGAAAATCTGCATTAACTAGTTACCGGAGAGAACAAGAAGAGTTTTGCAACCACCATTTTGTCCAAACAGAATATCAGTATCCAGTCTGTCCCCAACCATGCATATCTGTGACTTGAGAATCCCGAATCTGTTGTTGATCAAATACATGAAAACAATATGCAAAGGTAAGGGAAGATTGATCACAATAAAGGGTTTAGATAGAAGTTCTAACTTGTATATTTTTATTCTGCAACTGTTAAAGAAAAGCAACCAGTAGTTAACTTAACAGAATAATATTGTGTTATAAGACATACTGTAGTCATGAGTCACAACTAATGTATACTTGATTGTGAAAAATATTTAATTTTTAGCAAATTCCTATACTTGTGCAAGGCCAACCTCAATAGCAACACAACAGTAATTTTCCTTGCATTAAAGTTGCAACACCTGTTTTTAGCATGCACAAGAAGATGCTTCATATATCTATGATCGGTCATCATGGCTCATGTGGTAACAGGAAAGGGTGGGTTTGGGGTAGATCCTAGGTTACAAACTTACTGACCAACAAATATTTGCTTAACCTTGAATAATATGAACGCAAATATATGGTGGTTGGCTGATGTGGAATCTGATGATTTGACAAATAGATCTAGAGCAAATCATGCATGAGTTCTCCTGAATTTGCTCAATTCAAAGAGAGCGGAGAATAAAAGAAAAAAATTAAAGTAAGCCGTACTTGTTTGCTACGTAATCCATCATAAAAGTTGAGGGCTTTCCCACAACCAGTGGCTCACGCTGAGTTGAACCAACAAAAGCACCAACCATAGAACCACCACCTGAAATTATATAATAAGCACGCATTATATGGATTCTGGAAGAAACTGCAAGGAAAAGAAATAAACATTTCATGATGACAGGTTTGGGCCAGTGCCTCGCATATGTAGTTTAAACTTTAAACCGTAATCCAAAGTGGGAACCAAGTAATCTGGAAGTCTAATCCCAACCATTTTTATAGGGCTGATATCACATAACACTCGCTTATTAACCACGTTTTACGTACATTTGGACCTTCTAGTTATCATTACAAAAAGACAGCTTTCACTTGTTTTTTAGTCCATGAACTCAAAGTCCTAGACAGTCGTGATCTTATCATTTATTGATGCCGAAATCACATAGATGGAACTGATTTGAACTTCATATCATCAGAACATGCAATTTAATGCTTGGAAGGATTACTCTGGTATTATTCACTACTTATATGCAGTTCTTCAAAAGCTCAAGGGTGTACCATTTTTATTTGAAATCAGTATTAAGCTGAATATGGGAGATTATTTCATATCTCGTTTTCTATACATCATGCAACCCAACCTATATAACCTTAATATGAGTAGAAAACAATATAATGAAACATAGATTGTGATGAAGGGGAAATGAGAACCTGCCCATTCCTGAGCATCTGTAAGATGGGTGACTGCATCACGATTTGTAGCAATGAAGAGACACCCAGGATTTTCCCTTATACAGAGTGTTCCATACTGGACTTTGTAGTAGTTGAAATAGCGATCAAATCCAACAACAACTGCCCCAATCTAAGTAGCAATGAAGAAACATCTTTAGTATGCCTAAATTTTGGGGAAAAGGACTGCTTTTGCTCCTCAACTACAACTGTAAAACAAAGCACAGCCTAAGGAAGTCCTACTCAAGTTGCCTGTCAAGAGAGCTGTACTATAAGGGAAAGAAAAAGGAATAGAAGGTTACATCCTTATCGTGCTCCATAAGAAACCCAGGCTTCAGCTCTATCTTTTTTCCACCATCTTCCTGTATAAGTGGATAATACAGAATAGAAATAACATATTCATCCAAAATGTTACTGCTAACCAGCCACTAAGCTAGAAAAAATGGCAATGGCAGAAACAGAAATTATTGCAAGTAAAAGTCATTGCCTGTTACACAATATTGAATCACTCACGGCAATTTCTGGTATCATACTATCATCTAAAAGCTGAATATTTCAAAGTATATAGAGAAGATAAGGTGAAGTATAATGAAAATTGGAACTCATACATACTGGCCCACCAAGATACTGAAATCCAGCAAGCTCAAGCTCCTTCAAGATGCCATCCTCACCAACCACATAAACCTAAAAATCATGCCCGGATACCAGTCCATTATCAACTACTGCATCTCATTATCTCCACAGAGATGACCACACAATTATAACAAAATCTCATTCGAAGGAAAGAAAAAAAAATTAGAAAATTTCTACTTGCCTTTTTATCTTTCGGGAAATCAACTGACTTCAAATAGGCCGCAGCTGCAAAAGATGATGCGAAAATTTCTTCCTGAAACAAATATTGGATTGATTTAAGTAAGTTAGTCACACAAAACAAAAGAAAGGAAAAAGAAGAGGTTGTGACTTACTAACCTCACTGACATCAAGACCGAGTGTCTCAAACTTTTTACCATATTGTTTCCTAGACTTTGTTGAATTGTTTGTAACAAAAACTAGTCTCTTCCCCTACAAACCAACAAAGAAAAACCCACAATTTTACAAGGAAATTAAATACTAACAGCAAAGGAAAAGAAAAGAAAAAATGCACTGTTACATGAATTAAATACAAACCCTTGAACGGAGCATATCAAGAGTTTGTGGGACTCCATCAATCAGTTTATCTCCTTTCCATATAACTCCTGCAAATCATTCACCCGTTCATCAATACATGAAATAAATAAATAATTTTTATTCAAGAAATGAATTGACAAGAAACTTAAAACGGTGCGGAAGACACTGACCGTCACAATCAAAGATGAAAGTCTCAACGGAGTCAATGAGCTCATCTGCGTTTGTTAAAGGCTGAGCTGCTGCTGCTTTGGTCTTGAAATTCTCCATTCTTGCACTGCACTTTCTATTCAAGTTCAAATTTTTGTTCCATGTGGTACAGTTTGTGAAGTTATGAGAGAGTCCTTTTAGACCCAAAACTTTTGGGATTGTTGGGTTTAGTTTGCACAAAAATGGAGAAGGATATGTTGAAGAGGAAGAAGAAACAGCAGACACTGAAACAACTATCCGGCTTAGCATCTCTGTCTCTGCGTGCTCCTTCGTATTCTTTTTTATTTTACTTTTTTCCTTTTGTTAAGGAAAAAAAAGTTCAAACGTTTGAGTGTAGCTTTTTGAAAGGGTGGTTAGTTTGTGGCCGTTATGGTTTTGGAGGGTTGTGTGGGTCAGAATGTGCTTTTGGGGGTTAGGATGACCCGAGAGTTTGAGTGGATGGACTTCGTTTTCGTTATCATACAATTTGTGGGGGAAGGCGTCTCTCTCTTATTTTTGGTTATTTATGAAATGTTTTACTTGATTTGGGTGGCAAGTAGATTTATTTTTTATATTAATTTTTTATTCAATATTTCGGATAGCCTGGTTAAAACCCGAAACTCATTTTCCTCATCAAAATTGTGGGAGAGACTTTTTGCAGAGTATTTTTTTCATAATAAGGTATTTTTTTCTTATTTCTCATAATATGATAGTTTTAAACTTATTTATCATAATAAGGCATTTTATGCCAAATAGGATCCACTTCATTTTAATAAATTGACACGTCAATTTTAATTTTTTTATACTTAAAAACTATCATCGTAAATTAATCTCCTATTTTACTATCTTCTTCTCTCGTTTCTTTCTTCTTCTCCTTCTTGTTATACTAAATTATAACTTTCTCGCTAAAAAGCCTAATTTATAACTATCTACTAAATTAATCATGAGCGATCTCGCCTTTTGAGAAGCCGGCGTCCACTTTTTTTTATACCTATTTTGTGAAGTGAAAAGGAAAACCAACTCATCTTCTTGCCTCTCCCTCGACTTCTAGGGCTTTTCTACCTCTCCTCTCTTTTTCTCGTACCCACTCCCACTCTATCTCCCTTGACATGATTCTTCCCGCTTGGTGGTGTCATACAATCGGTTGCCACGATACTCACATTCGATAAGCTAAAATCTTACATCCGATTCTAATCAAGAATGGCATCCAGTTAGACTTTGCAAGAACAATAACAATAAATTAACATCTAAATGTACATATGGCAAAAGGAAAATTGATATATTTGAAGTCGAAGGAACATGCGGGTGTTACTTATGAATAACAACAGGGGCTCTATAGTCGAGTCTTTAGACGATATTGAAGAAAGCGATTATTGGAATCGTCTACCTAGTTTTGAGGATTCAAATTGATGTACTCGGGGTGCGTGAACTATTTCAAGCATCTTTAGGTTTTTGTTTTTTGGATTGTTACAATTCATGTGCCATTTGTCTACTTCGATGTCTTTATCTTTACCACTTTGGATGATTGTGGTTGAAAAGTTTTCTTTGTCTGCTACTCGCTGATTTATGTAGGCTTCCTACCACCATCTGTTCAATTTTAAGCCTCGTGGTATGACCATTCTCGATGTTCATTCATCATTCCATTAAAGTTCCCGTTAATGATTGTTGTTGATGTCTCTCTACTTTGGTCGGAAGTCGAAAGGAATGCCGGTTGAGAAGCTTGTTAAGTCGATCCCATAGCATGCAAAAAAGTAGTGTGCCTTCTGGGTTTTGATGCGATCCTTCGTTTTTTTTGCTATCTCGCTCCTTGCGGAAAAATGCGCCCATTGTAGAGAAGTAGCTAGTGTTCCGTTTAAAGTGAATCATATTCAAGTTGTGTTATTTGTTATGCATCCCAGTTCATTTATTCCTTTTTTATATATATTTTTTTAGGTCATGTTCATCTTCTATCTTGGTGTAAAGAGCAGGTAAAGATGGTTCTACTTAGTATGTTGTTAAGACTTCCGTGGCATTACTAACCCTTAATTTAAGTGAAAGACAAATTGCAATTGCATATTTAACAATTTATCAATTATGTAATTTTCTTGACTATAATTTATTCCACTTATGATGAGGATTACATTGAAATAAGATTTTTATTTCCTTAGTATTCTTTGTATTTTACATGAACCACGAATTTTACCGTCGACTCGTCATTCTTATATAATTAGTGAATGTCAAATAGAACGATGGGGCTTTGTATAGTATTTGTTCTAAGAATTCAAAAGGAAGGTTGGTGGGTTAAGACTTAAGACTTAAAAAGAGTAGTTGGCATTTAAGTTGAAAAAGTGAAAATCAAATGATTACTCGTATATGTGTGGTTGAAAATTATACTTAGTCGGCATGTTAGGCCCTTATTATTCTAAGGGATTTATCTTTACCCATTGGATGATTATGGTTGAAAAGTTTTCTTCTTCTGCTGCTATTGATTCATGTAAGCTTCCAGGAAAAGAATTTCAACTCGTCCTCCGTGCAAGGTTGAAAAGAATTTCGAATGATGCAACCATCTTTGATCAAAAGATTCATTCTCAAACTATACCATGTGCTCATCGACAGTAGATGTTGTCATTAGTATGCTTCGAGAACAAAATAAATTTGGTGCTGAGGTAAGCAAACCTATTTGTTGAATTGTTTACCTATCAATAGGTAGTGGCCATATTGTTGGTAACATATTTTGTCAATTACATTTTCTTGTGGTTTACTCGAGAGCATTACGGTTGTCAATTTTTTTCTTATAGTTTTTGCATATTATAGGGTGATTCTGGTATGGAATGGAGTTTTTTACTCGGGTTGCTAGATCCGTCGACCTCTACAGAGTAAGTATTTTAATGTCAAAGATAATGATTATTGCTAGATCTTTAACTTTTTCATCCATATATATGATTTTACCTGGAATAGTGTATCATTTTCATACTTAGATTTACTCATGTTAAAGCAATTCATAGTGTTAATTTTGTTATAGCACATGATGGATTCATATTGCATTATCTTGTTTCGTATAATCCAATAGTGTATTTATAGGTAGTAACTCGCAGTCATTACCTTGTGTGCATGCTATTGTAAAGGAAAATTGGAGCTAGCCAGTAATCAATTGTTCTTATTCATGGAATTGCTTGCTGAATATTTTTTGTTTTGTCGAGGTTCTTTACCATACGGTTAATGCATTTAGTTTAGCCTCCAATTTGGTCGCATGGATCTTGGGATTAGTCTGTGTCAAATCTTGTGTGATAAATAGATTCTTTTATTTAGTTTGGTTCATTGGTAAGAGAATCTAATTGATGATGTATTTATTCTTTCTTTAGGTGTTAATTTATCTATATATTTTTTGGTGGATTTTGGGCTTTTTGAGCTCTAACATTAGCGCCATCTTGTGATACGAGAGCAAATTTGCTGATAGTACCCTATAAGATTTCAAAGAAAACCATTGATACAAAAGAGCTTTCATCCCAAAACCTAGATCATCCACTTGGAGGATAAAAAGGGAATCAAGCATGAACTTCAAGATGAGATAAATAGTGATGAGCTTGAAGTTTAAGATTGTAATGCAAAACAGGAAAATGGTTACGCGAAATGTGATAATTTTGAAGTTCTTTCATTGGATACTGGAAGTGCTATTAACAATGAACTCAAAGAGGATAACAAGAATAATGACTGTGAAGTGGATCATTGCTATCCAAAATTTAAAGGCTTAAATGGATGGGATGAAGAGAAATGGAAATTGTATGTAATTACTCGAATACTTAGATCGTTACGTTTATGAAGAAAACTTATAAAAATAATAATAATAATATGTTGACTTTAATTTCTACGAGTATTCTTAAAATTTTGCAAACAATAAATTATCTTGAATGTTAATTTTAAATTTAATAAAGTTGCATTAACGGATAAAAGAATCGACGAATTCGAATAATTGTACTTGCACGATCTTGGAATAAAATGCACTAAAGTATGGAAAAAATAAATCAAAGATCATCTTGCTTTCAAATTTCTTAATGAAGAATCTTGTGACCAAGAAATCCATGTTACGCATCATTGTTTGACATCCAAAAGTTGTAAACTCGTAAAATATTAAGAAAAAAGATAACAAATTAGTTGTATATCCATTATAAACACATGAAATATATTAAGTTGAATAAAAAAAATATAATTACCATTATTTTAATAGATAAGTTCGACGATCATGACCCGCTTGTTTACACAATTCACAATGTTTTGTGGCTCGATCTTCCCGAATGTCCATCTCATTCCGAATGCGAGTAAATTTTGGTTTTTCTTTTTTCTTTTATCGATGATCGGGATCGGGATATAATCTTGGAATGCTAGTTTACGGCCAATAATCTTAATGAATAATAGGATGAAACTGTGGCGCCCATGTATGAAAATGCTCTTGCATACTTGTAATACTTATAAATAAATTGCCAATTATTAAGAGCCAATCTTCCACACACTTGCTAATACATGAGAACATGGAAATTTATAGATTTTTCATTTACCACATGAGCATTTACCATTATCTAGCTGAACAACTTGTTTATTATAACCCTTCGCATTCGTTCACCATGAGGTGTTGTTATTATTTCAAATATTCCTCTCGTTTTCATTAAATGGAATGAGTTCATGTGCATTAGCCACGATTAAGCATTAAGCTTTGCTAAGATATGAGGAGCATAAAGTTTTCCTTCATCAACGACTTCTTTTGAAAGTTTTCGTCTATCATTAAAGTAAGTTACCGGTCGATAAAATGTTAGTTGCACACATGCGGTGATAGATAAATTACGAGCTCCTTTTAATACACTATTGAATACCTCGGATAAATTAGTTGTCATCACTCCATACCATCGACCTTCATCATATATTAATGTCCATTTCTCTCGAGGAATTTATTCTAACCATTTTTTAGCCTCGGAATTAGATTTTCCAATCTCATCCATAATAGCATTAAACTTTCTTAGTTGGTGTGCACTTCCAGCTCTATCAACAAGATTTTTTAAATGTTTACTATGAAATCTATCATTAAAATTACTGCATAAATGCCTTAAGCAAAAATGATGATACGCATAAGGCTCTTCCTATCTTGAACCATATTCATTCACTACGACAAGAATACCGAGCATAACGATCCGATATCAAACAACTACCTCTACGATCGGTGACCTTCTCTCTAATGCAAGCTAGAAACCAACTCCAGCCTATCAAATGACTCCTCCTCCACAATAGCAAATGCAAGTGAG